ATTTATATATATTTAAATATAATATATTTATTTAAATATTTAAATATTTACATATTATAACCCTAACCTGCCCGCCTTGCTGATGTGCTAGCTGAATTACCTAATGTGGGGCGTGGCACGAGTAGTACTCCGTACTCCGTACAGAGTCATGGCGGAAGACCCCCTTTTTCGCTGTTGTGTACTCCCGCTTCAAACTGAGACATTACAACATTACACACTTTTTGTTGGGTCGTGGAGAAGGAAAAAATTTTGAACAGACTGCTGGCTGCCTCGCCCACTACGACTTGTAATAATTCGCGTGGGCCAAGGCGCCGACGTTCCGATGCAAGGATGTGCGATTTGGCTTCGTCCAACTTCTCTCTTCTGCTACTGCTCTGTGCCAAGTACCGAGTACGTGATAAGAGTGACCTTGGGTTTGCGGGCTGTTGCCTCTTCATGATGCTACGGAAATGTCTCATCTGATGTCTTACGGTTTCCAGAAGTAGTACTACGTTGCCAATGTAGTGTTACTCTGTTGATCAACGGATATACCCGTACTTTTATTACTTGTCCCTTTCAACTTACTTTTAGCCTCTTACGGAGCACTAACGCGACCTACCGACAAGGCTTCCACCGTGCTCGCCATCGGACAGGGCGATATACTAGAGATTGGTAAAAGAACAAAAGTCGTGAGCAAGATCAAGTACATGTGCGGCTCAGACTTGCCTTAACGACGTCATTGCCATGGCCGTAAAGAGACGAACACGATTCCCTAAGAACAGAGGGGTTACGCCCTAGGCAAAACACACAACTATTGTTCATGGTCGGGAAAGACGACGCGTCCCCCAAAGCAACAACCATGGCTCGGAAGTATCTGTTTGTTGTCATCACTGCCGAATCACCACACATCAATCCTATCAAGACTAGCTAGGTATGAAGCACCCAGGAACTAGCTAGTCTGGTGAATACTGTCCAAGTGCCCAACGATACTTGGCGTAGGCGGGCAGATTCTTGAATGTATGGTGATGGCGAGGCGAGTACATATCCCGCATCAGGGTGAAATCAGAGTCGTCCCCTTGACCTTGCCGTTCTGCATCTTGGCTGTTCTGGCACCAAATTGGATCTGTGCACCGCGTTAGGACGTTTTCTGCTCCATAATCGCCGCATGGGATTTGATGGGCAGACTAATTTTAGCACCTCGGGCTGTCGTATTCTACAGCCAGAAACAGTCAAGGCGCCAGCACTTACAGCACGTTTCTTCTCCCTTGCTACGACGCTCATGCCCAACTCCTCAGCAAGTAGGCGCAGCACTCGCTTGCCCGGCTCAGGCGTCCCGTTGCGGCTGTCGTCTGTGTCATCGTTGGTAAAACCGCATTTTTGGGAGACAGGGAGCTCGATGGCCCATTTTACAAGAGTTTCGTCGAGGTAGGGGAAGCGCACTTCTCGCTCCCAGGTGGCCATGACCCTGTCGTCTCGTCCGAGATTTCTCTTCCCCAGACGGCTTACGTCGAGTCTGAGCTCGTCGATGAGGCCAGTGTAGCCGTGATGGTTGAATGCTGTCTCATGCCGAATGTAGCCACCAAAGAGTTCGTCTGCGCCCAGACCAGAGAGGAGCACACGAGCGGTGGTTTCATACGGTTCTGGTTGCGAATCCAGGCTGGTTTGACCAAGCCCGGCGCCCCTTGCGGCAAAGTAGAGGGCGTAGGCGATGGAGAGGTCCATCTCCGTGTTGTGGGGGTGCATTAATTCAATCACTTCGGAACGATGTTCCGTGGCCAGTGAGAACGGCACGTTTACCTGCAACACTGTCAGTGGGAAGACAAGAGCTGAGGGCTGCCATGGGCCACGACAGATAGAGACCTACAATAACTAGACGCCATATTCGCAAGGGACAAGCAGCGAGGAGTTCCATAAAAGACTTCCTTCCTGTAATCCGATCCGGACACAACTCAAAGAGCTCGTCCTGAGACGCACCCTTGTTGTGGGCTGCAAGCCTGGGATTCTCAAAGGCAACATTAAGCAGGTCTATAGGCTGGTCCGGCGGCAAAATGTCACTTGCGAGACGAGCCAACACGGTGCAATCCAGCCCTCCGGAGAACAGGACCGCAATTCTGGCATCTGTGGATGATGCCTTTGGTGGTGTGGGTACGTGCAACACTCGCAATTGGAGAGACTCGGTTAGAAGCTGACGCAGTTGGGCTACAGCGCTGGACTTGTTGGTGAGACGAGAGGACTCCACTGCGAGGGAACCGTTGAAGACGCCGATTCCTGATATCTGAACGGACGAGGGGTAAGTGGCCGGAACGGAAGCCCAAGATGAGGTGCGTACATCATGAATAGACTCACTAGTGAGCGGTCCTCAACCCAGTCGTGTCTGGTGAGAACAAGGTCCTCCACCGCAATAGACTGATGGTTGAATTGCAATGTGTATATCCCGTCTGGTTCGACTTCACCCCATCCAGATGTCAGAGAGTCAGAAATGCTCGCCAGAAGAAACGGCTCTCCAGGCTGTACCAGCAAAGACCGCCGTCCTAAACGGTCTCGTGCGTAGTACAGACGCTTCGCGGGTTTGTCAAAATAGATGAAGGCGAATGGGCCTTCAACTTCACGAAGCGCATCAAGCACGCCTTTTCCATCATCCTCCAAGGAGCGGCGACTGGCCACGCTCAGCAAAGACAGAACAGCCTCACTGTCATTACCTTGGACTTTCTCCCCCTTGATCTTCCAAGCTTCTCCGTTCCAGCAGAGCACCGAGCCAGTCGTCTCATCCACTAGCGGCTGCTTCGTCATGTGATCCCCCCGTAAACAAAGCACCGTCGACGTGAATGATAGCGATACAGCGTCATTTGCGCCCAGGTTAGTTGTGACTGTGCCCAGGTAATCAGGGCCACGACTCCGGAGCCGACGTTCCAGGGCGGCCGACGGTCTGGGACATTGTCCAGCTGTGTAAATGGCGACATGGATGCCGCACATATTCCAGCCGGCGCCTATCAAGGATGAGGCGCTCTTTTGGAGGGGGATCTTTCCTGTCTCCCTTGTGGTGCCGGCACGAGGTATGAGTAGTAGATGGATTCTTTTTTTTTATTGCGGCCAAAGACTCCAGTAGACCCTTGTGGCAGCTCGAGTGAGGCTGGTTCATGGTTGGCCGGGACCCACTTTACTCTGAGCCCTGGGCAGTTGAGAGGTCACTGGTGCTTACTCAGAAAGGTCACCGTTCAAAGGTGACTGGAGGCAGTCGCAGAAGGTTGAAGTAGGGATTTGCGCATTTTGATTTTCACATGCTTCTATCCACGCCATTTTGGCCTGGTGAGCGCCGATCCATGATTCATGCTTATTCACTAGTGTCCACTCCGTAGGCAACTCTGAGAAACACCTTCCAAGTATCATGTATGGCACGAATATATACCACTCGCCCGACGACCAAGTACCTGTCATGTCCCCCAGCAACAGATCAACTCCAAAATAAGCAAAGGCATGACTGTGTAGATAGGTTCATGTTTTACGAAATTGGTCATCTCAACGCCAGCTCCCTCGGTACGACTCGTATTGCTCAAAACACTGCCACATAACGTCACCGCCCATCGGCCCCATCCTGTTGCTTACCGTCGATCAGAAGCTGACGAGCGGATACCTAAACCGACAAGAGAAACTCAGCTTACATGATATCCATGGCCCAGGGCGCACGTGTGAAGAGCAAGCGTTTGATTCCTGTCAGAAACGGGGTCAAAAATGGTTCCTGGGCCGGGATCACAAGGACGCAAGGAAGCTTCCCTCGCCCGGTTCAAAGCTAAGCCTTGTGTCGTCGGGCGTTGACATGCATTCATGATTTGGAATTGGAAATCTGCAACTGGATCGCTCAGTACATACATGTTTGGCCGTGATCGTCCCGAAATCCCTGATGTGAACACTAGCTGATGAGGAATGGAAGGTGTCGCTATATTCGGTCGTGTTGTTGTCTGTACATATAAATGACCTCTGCTCGGCACCGTCTTGTCTAGACTCAATCTGAGAAAGTTGCTTACAAGATTATCCAATTCAAAAACTTGAACAGAATCCAACCGAAAAACAAAAAACACCACTAACATGTCACCGCTTCTCCAAGCCTTCAGCCAGCTGGCCGTGGCAAGCCTGGCCCTCATCACCACCGGTAGATCACCCATCTCGCACATCACTCTGAGCAACACCACTAACAAAGCCTCCCCCTCCAGCTCAAGCATCACCAGCTCCAATGGCAGAGGCAGACGCTGCCAAGGTTCCCCTGCGTCTCATGCCCCTCGGCGCATCCATCACCTACGGCCAAGGCTCCTCCACCGGCAACGGCTACCGCAACGACCTGCACAAACTCCTCGCCGACAACGGCTACACGGTCAACATGGTCGGGTCCCGCAAGCACGGCTCCATGAAGGACAACGACGTCGAGGGCTGGCCGGGCTTCCGCATCGACGAGGTCCAGTCCAAGGCCGAGGCCGCCGTGCCCAGCCGTCTCCCCAACGTCTTCACCGTCAACGCCGGCACCAACGACTGCGCTCAGAATTTCAAACTCGACGGCGCCGGGCGCCGGACAGACGACCTGCTCGAGTATCTCTGGAAGGCATCCCCGGACTCCACCATCATCCTGTCCACGCTCCTCATCAACCTCAACCCCGCGGTTGAAGCCCGCGTGGAAAAGGTAAACGCCCAAATCAGGGAGGTTGCCAAGCAAAAGGCGGCCCAGAAGAAGAGAATCGTCCTGGTGGATATGCACGCCGCCGACGGTCCGCAAAAGGCCGATATGGCAGATGGCACACACCCCAACGATGTCGGCTACAACAAGATGGCCAAGATTTGGTTCCGCGGCATCCAAGAGGCTGCTGGCAGGGGATTCCTCAAGAACCCCAAGCCTGTTCCCGGCGCGTGAGCGGCTGCGGAAAGCCACAAACACGCGTCTTTCGCCTTTTGATGGATGGAATCGTGTCCACAAGAGAAGGAGGAAGTGGTGGCGGACGACGAAAAACACTTGCTGTAAATGGAAGCTATATAAAGGCAATGGACCCATGTATCGCCATCTTTCGTGATTTGGGCCCCAAATGTAGCCATTTGCGATTTATACAAGCCAGTGCTTTAAAGACTCATCTAGAATTATGAATAACAACCAGAGAGCATTCCATCTTTTCCCACGGCAGATCAAATACGCAACATGTTTTGCATAATCCTTGTTACAAAATAAGAAGACGCCTGGATATCAATCAAGTAAATATCCGGTATGGTGTAGTGGCTAACATCGCTCGCTCTCACCGAGCAGCCCAGGGTTCGATTCCCTGTACCGGAGGTTCAACATCTTTTTGCCACACACGACCCTTTCCACATCGTGAGTTGGTCCTTTTTCTTCTATTTTTTTGCCCTCAATTCTCACTCCACAACACTTCTGAACATCTTCAGGTCCTCCACACCTCCGTCAATCAATCAAACATCCGGTATGGTGTAGTGGCTAACATCGCTCGCTCTCACCGAGCAGCCCAGGGTTCGATTCCCTGTACCGGAGGTTCAACATTCATCTGTCTTTCATCTCGTGGAAGCTGGTCTTGTTTTTTTCTTCCTTTTTTTATACTTCAACTTCCAAGCTAGGCGTCAGGTTCATTGACCGTTAGCTGTGGTTATCTTTCCTTCTGTCTAAGCTAGCTAGTGGCGTTATGGCTTTTGGGCAACTGAATTTGTCCGCGATCATGGAGCATGGTGCTCTTTTACCAGACATCACCGAGAGAACGACGTGAGCGGGACCTGCTTGCAACCTCATACTGTAGTCCTTACTGGCAGAGCATTCATTCCATAGATTCGGAGTTTGCAGTGTAACCCTGTACTTTTTTTTCTCTCGCACCTCCCAAATACCGTGTTTTGCCTTCGACGTGAAGTAACCTTAGTGGGAACAGATTACTGACGGGTATTATAACGATATTCTGTGCCCAGCAATACAATTACATACCACCATGAAGAAACAAGGCCGGACAAAACCAACACACACGGGTTTCACCAAAATACAGGATACGCAGTGTCATCCGCCCTTATGCAGGGTAGCTCACAGCCAAGGGGATCATTAAGGTTACCTCTGGCCTACTTCGCATGGAGTGGATGCATACAAGTACTCTCAAAGTTAAGACATAAACGACCGTAGGTCACAAAATACACGGTATGGCATCAGTTCTTGGGTGGACAATCCTTCTATATTCCATTCTCGTCGGAAAAGGCGAAATCTATGTCCATAAAAATCCATCCCTGTCATCGTCTTCAACATTAATACCCAAGGAGTCGCAACGCTCCAATATAACGGTCCCGTGAACCTCCATCCCAACGTTTTCAAGTGCCTATTAACAAGCACAAAGTAGCAAACAGTACAACAAGTGCCTTGGTACATTACAAGAGCGAATGATTTTCGCTATCCCAATTTCATCCCATCTTCATAAACTCGTAAGCAAAAAAATTGACTGGTGTCCCCACATGAGAGAACAGTCTTGTATTGTTTGAGTGATGGCTGTGAAGCCAACCAGTCTACATCTTCCACATTTACTTAATCCCGAAAAGGTTGGAGGTCCAAGTTTGTCCAATCCGCCTGGTTGAACAAGTCCGGCTGTGAGGCCTGGGAGAACCCAAGGTTTGCGCTGGGAATCTCAGCAAACAAGGGCTGCTGGAAGTTGCTGCCCTTGTCAGTCGAAGTGGCAGGAAAAAGTTGGAAATCCGGGCCGTCTCCAGTGAACACCTCATCGAAGCCCTCGTCAACCTCGCGGAGTGAGTTCGGGGTGAAGAGCATCGCATTCTCTTGTCCAGAGGGCGAGAAATGAGGCGGGACCTGCAGCTGTGGAGGCGGACAGTGTTGAGGAGCACGGTAAACGGGCAGCTGCTGAGGTAGAATCTTGTTATATAGCTGATCTAGCCCCTGCAACTGCGCAGGAAGCTGCACGGGCGCAGCGTAGATATCCTCATCATTGAGGATGAAGGTAGATCCGTTCTGGTATGGAGGGTACTGCTCATAAGAGGTGGCAGAAGATGGAGAGGTGTGCTCCAGTGTCAAGTCCATACCATCCAAAGCTTCCGGCTGGATACCATAGGCAGCCAACCAATCGCCATCTGACTGGTAGGTAGGGAAAGTCATGGCATCCTGATCCTGGGGAGGAGTAGGGACGCTGTAAGTGGGAGTGCTGGACGGTGTGGACACACTGCCAAGAGGAGGAGTCTGCTGAACAGAGCTGGCTGGGTTGCTAGAAGGCTTCTTACCGTTGGTTTTGGTTCGAACGTAGGTCCAGCCGTGCGCCTTCTCCATGTGCTGCTTGCAGTTTGATTCACGCTTTGACTTGTATGGACAAGGCTTGAATAAGCACTCAAACATGGCAGGCGCATCAGAGTGCTTGTCATTGACATGGCGGTCCATCTCCTTCTCAGTGGGCCAGCCAAACTCGTGATACTTGCAAGTTGGGATAGGGCATTTCCATGGTCGGGAATGTGTCTTCTCGTGCTTGGTCAGGTCGCAGGGTCGCTTGAACTCCTTGTTGCAACCTGGCTCACGGCACTTCTTGGGAGCCAGCTCCTCAGCTGTGGCATTCTTCTTTCTGCGAGCCATGGAGCGCATAATCTCCTCCTCGTCCTCACGCTGCTCAGAGAGCGAGCGCTTGAAAGTGACGGGGGCTTCACTAAGATCTACTGGTTTTCCGGTGGCCATAGAAATGGCAGATCCGTCCTTTCTCACCCGAATGAGTTCGGCGGGGCGGCCATTCTCGGCTATACCGCCGTAGAGTCTGATCTCATCCTCCCTTGGATTGTTGTTAGCAGGATGGTCTAGCGGTACGAAGCACGGTACATACTTGTCCACATCCATGTTGTCGTCAGAACCGCCTTTCTCTCTGGCGGCGGCGAGTTGTTTACCGTACTGGTAGATTTGTTCCTTTAAGTCGATGAAGTATCCGTTAGTGTAAGGGCGGTCTCCAGGTCGAATTTGCTCGCGGTCCGTGAGATATTCGACAGTTGCTTGAATGCATCGAATCGAGGTGAGGCAGAAATCGAGATACAAGGCGGGGGACTTGGCCGTCTCCTTTAAAAGCAATTGCCAATAAGTATCATTCCAAACGCCGTCATCAGTTAAAAGCTGACTTACCGGTGCCATAAAAATCAGGGTTTTTTCAAGATCTCGAAGGCAAATAATCTCCTTGGACCGAATTTTTCGAGGTACATCGAGCACGATAGGCTCAAAATCCTTGAGCGCTTGTTTCTGAAGAAGTGGGTGAAGAGTGTGTTCCTGAATGCGGTTCAAGGCTTTCTGGCTTAATGCGGGCAGAAACCCTTTGGTAGAAGACGCACCGGAGCCAGTAAGGGCTGATGCTGTCTTCAGTGTCTTGGTGTCCTTCTTGTCAGCCGTTTGAGCGGCCTCGCACTTCTCGTTGGTAGAGGCAATAGAAGAACCGAGACCGCTGTCCGAAGCTTGCTGCTTTGATCGATGCACTGAGCGAGGGCGCAAGACCCGGCGCTCAGGCTCGGGGTGTGCCATGGCTGGGTCAACGAGAGGAGGGTCGAGGAAGCCGCGAGGAACAGGAAGACTGGTATCACGAAGGGTCTTCTTCTTGGGGTTAGGCGACAGAGAAAGGTTCTCGGTCTTTGCGAGAGCCTCGTCGATGTCGCTTAGGGTGAGAGCAATGCGTCGACGATTGGCGTCGACGACGTCGTCCAGATGAGTTTGGGACCGAGATAGTTGAGGTGGAACAAAGGTGTCGTCCAAGTTTGAAGAGACTGGAGAAGTGGGTGAATGAAAGGTGGCACCCTTACGGAGGGTCATAGTTGATTTAAGTGCCAGGCCGCTCTCGTTGTCCCTTCCGGAACGACTCACCGGAGCCCTTCGACGAGGGTTGGCGAAGGACATGATGAAGGCTGGATGGAGGTGGGGTAAACTGATGAGACTGCCACGGGTGTCCTTAAAGGGCTGTGTCGACAACCAGACAGGTTAGACTTTGTGTATCCCGCAACTAAAGAAAGGCGAGGCTGGATGGCAGATAGGCAATGTCGTTTTTGTGTGAGTCACAGCCGTTTGTGCCAAAAGACGGGATGGATCGATGGGAGGTCCGAATTGGAGCCACCAAGGACCTGGTGTCTGTCCCGGCAATGTAGACAGGAAGAGGGCACAAAAAGAGCAGGGTATATCGAGGTGGAAGAGAACAAATGTCCTTACCCAGTATGCCCGTCAAAATTGTTTGGCAGCGCTTGTGATGGGACACAAGCGTAACAGCCCGGATGGTGTTGAACGGGGAATAAGAAGCACGCGATAATGATGATGCTTGGCGCGGACTGAGGACCCTCAGATATGGCTATGACTCGAGGAAAACACCGCACGTCGATGATGGGAAGTGCCGATGCTCGAGGGATGCTCAAGGAATGACTATTATGAGTGAGCAGATAGATTGAAAAGGTTGGTGGCTCGGGCGAAGGAACTGGGGCGTAAAACGGATATATGTGTGAGAGGCGGAAGCGCGAGTTGTTCGGATCTGGGGCACAAGGGGGTGGTAGGCCTTGGAGACGACGGGAAAGGGCCCGCTCAAGGGCGAAAACAAGCGATAATGGCCACTGGATGCTGGTGGGCGCCAGGCACAAGATGGATGGAAGAGCGGCTGGAGAAGTCGAGGGACGACGGAAGGTTGAGACGTGAAGGGAGCTTTTTGGTGATGGAGGCGCGACGAAGCCAACGGGCTGCTTGCTTAGAAACGCACTGGGGCATTTGGCAAATGCCAGGCGTACTCCGTACTCAGCCTGGAGACGCTGCTGCCTAGAGTTCAGACCTAAACAGGACTAGCGGCTTCCGCAAGCTGGTGAGTGGCCCAGGGTGGGCTGTGTGGAGGACGGTAATCCCTGTCAGCAGGGTCGCGATTGATAGGCCGGAAGATGAGGAGGTACTTTGGATGGTAACGCAGTCGAACAAACACAGAGCCGAGAGGGTGGGCGACTCGAGCCAAATTTGCTGGCGCAGAGCCGCATACTCACACAAACCGCCAGGACATGGCCTGACCTCGACGTCTCTCGTCAGATAGTGAGCAAAGTATCGGTGCTATGACAGTAAACCTGGTCGCCCAAGACGTGACCCTTGGAGCCAAGCTGGGTCCTTGGCCCGCCCGTTCCACCATTCTGTCAATCCCAAGTTGCATGCCATGCTTAAGCACCTTGAGCACCTTGACATTTGCCCATGCCCACCAGAAGGCAGCCAAGTTCGGCATCGCATCAAGACGGCCAGACAAGATAAAACAAAGACCAAAACATCCACACCGAATTTTCCCAAATGACGACGGGCATTGCTTCTGCACACCACCTCCCCAAAGAACCCCTAGCATGCGTGGGGTGCGTCGGACGGCATGACGGGAGCAATTGGGACCTTTGCACGACGACTCCAAGCGAACTGTTGGTCGGGATGATGACGAATTACTTCCACCTTGGCTTTCCACCGTGTCTGGCCTGACCCTTCCGTCGCCGTAAGCCTGTCGCTATGCCTTACACGCAACATGCGAAGGGGGGTGGGTTGCCCCGAAAGCCGGTTCGCTGATTGTCGGAATCGTTGGGTCCAACAGCGCGTCCCCGTCTGAGAGTGAGGGTAGAGTAGCGCAAAGTCATTTGATGGCTCGAGGACACAATAGTGACACTGTCTATCCCTCAGGTCTCTCGGTCTCAGCCCTGCAGGTCTCGCGCTTTTGACCAGTACCTGACGACCAACAGTTGCTAGGACTCGGCTGTTGGACCCGTGTTGATCGTGGCAGGACATCCTTTTCTGTGGATGCTTCAACTGGCCATCCTGGTGCGCGGCAGACGTATTGTTTCTTTCAATGTCCTATCCTATCCCAGCACGTCATAGCAACTGAGCCACTTCTCGATTGACGAAACTAACCTACGGAGTACTGCATCAAGGACTCTCGAACTGTTGCGCCCCTGGCAACTGAAAGACGGGGATCGATATCCTTTGATGTTTAGCCTATTAGTTGCTTAGCCGCGACATTGGTTGCCAGCATCGAGATGCTTTGACGTTTGCTCTGCGTACAGTGCAGCGCCGTGACCAATCCCTCGTCAAGGTGCCCGAGTGTTCGCGACCTTTGTCAAGGACTTTGGCGTACAGCAGCAACCCACATGGCTTCAATAACGGCGTTGGCCCCGAACCCTGTCCGTTTTGGCCATTTGACCTCTTGATTGCCAACTCTCTCTGCTCTCGAGTAATAATAGGTGGTGGCGTCTGGAGAGCCACCGAGCACCACCTGTGACATTTGCTGCATCTATTGTCAGGCCAGACTGGCTTATTCCACTTTTTTGTGCATTGTCTGCCATCGCCAACTTGCATCCAACCAGGAGGACAATTCATCTGCCCCAGGCAAGGTCTGATGCAGGAGACACCCCCATCGTAGGGCTGCCCAGTCAGGACCTATCAAGCAACCAAGGGCCACCCAGTCGCCAGTTGAAAATGGCGCCGAGACATGGGCGCAGAGACACCTGAGTCACACTCTATCCGCTTTGCTGTCTTTGATGCGGTGCATTTTCGTGTCCGGCGGTTTCCTCTTTCGGCCATGTTACAACGGACTCGTCTTGATTCCGCGGATCACGCCCGCCGCTGTCAAGGATTGTATGTATGAATTCCTTTTTTTAAAATTTCTGGACACGTATTGGTTTTCACAGCTTTGTCGGCAACGCGAGTCCAAGTGGCATCTATTGCGGCCAATTGCGTTGTGTTTAATCGAGCAGCCTATGCCAGGGGCCGTGAAACCCCATGAAGATCCGATAATAGCTCAAGGCATCAGTATTTCACTTCAGGTCTAACTGTTCTCGCCAAGGGACAGTTTTGTCCTACTCCAGTGTGTGGAACCAGCCACTCACTGCTGGGGCCCTCCATGTTTTATTCCGCTGCCTTGCATACAGAACATCGTATCACGAGACAGCGGCGCGAGCGGACACTGCCGCCATGGGTGGCTCTGCGATCGATGGCTTCCTAATATGATCCGGTTCCCTTAGGCTCCGGGATGAGGAGGAAACGCCTGGGCCGCTAGAGTTCAGGCAGTGATATGTTTGAAGAGGAGAGCAGACGCGTTGAAAGTGCAAATCACTTTCTCTACCAGACCGATTTCGCCATCTCTTGTACCCAAACTGGGAGTAGGACGAAATGTTTTTTCGCCGTGTCCAAACAAAGCACATCATGGCGCATCAGACCTACGGGGCTGGCTGTCATCATTTCGGTGCCTTCATTTGCCTCATGTAGGTGATTGGCGTGATTTTTGAACCGGCTTGCGAGCTCCGTGCTTCCCGTGTTTCGTCAAGTGTTGAATCACTTTGCTGGGCAACGGCACACGCATTCATTACATCGGTCGTTCTTCTACATAGCAAGCAATTGCGAAGATTCCGTAATGATTGTGCTTAAGCCTCAGTCTCTGCTATATGATTCTCAGATGGCCTTTCATGTCGGACGGACAAAGCGTATATGCAGAACCGATCCGAAGCCCACGTTAATGCCGTCGCCGTAGGAGTCACCGGCACTTCATGGCAGACTGCACAGGGCTTGAGCACCTCTTGAGCACCTCTTGGGGGCTGTTGTAGTTTGTAAAACCACCGCGAACTCACGACAATGACTTGCATGGGCTTTCGCGGCCTTGCTTCAAACACAGAGCAGACCAATAATGACGCCCAAACAATTCTCACGTTTTGAACAAGCCCAAAAGTCATATCAAACCCGCGCAAGAGACAACGACAACTCGTGGCACCCACAATACACCACCCGGTTCGTGAAGCTCATTGACATTCAACCCGGTGACCGTGTGTTAGTCCTTGCCTGCGGCACCGGCCTCGAAGCTGTTATTGCGTGCCCACTAGTCGGTGACAATGGCCTGGTGACAGCCTTGGACGCAGCCCCGGCAATGCTTGACGTGTTTCGCAAAAAGCAGGCTACCGATGAGATTCTATCCCGCCGGCTGGTTCTCGTCCAGCATGATGTCACAGATCTTGAGTCCTGCGAGCATCTTGAAAAGGGCGCGTATGATGTTATTATTTGCTCCAATGCGTTTGTATTATTCGACGATCCCGGCCGTGTTGTTTCCCAATGGGCTGGGTATCTTCGTCGCGGAGGCCGACTCATTGTTGACATTCTCCACGAGAATCACCCCCGCCAGGAACTCTTTATGAAAAAAGTCATCCAACAGAGGGGCATGACGTACCCTGCCAGTCGGTCATGGATCGAATCAGTCCACTCGTTTCGTGGGATACTCGAGGCACGACATCTACAAGTCTTTCGGATTGAGGCTCTGGATAAAGAACCTGGTAAGGGACATGTTTATCTTGGAAGAGAGGAGATGAACGCCATGTTCGATTACATTACAAAGAATCAGTTAAGGAGCAAAACGAGGGTCTTGTTTGAGAGAGAGTGGGATTCAGCGGCGGAGAGCGAGGGAAATGGGAACGTGAAGGTTAGTTAAATTCTTTATGTTTACGTCACTGAGAAGGTTTAGGGATGCAGGTAGCAGGGCGTTATTTACCAGTGATGTGTTTGTGTGGAATTCGGTGTGTTGGTGTTTTGTTGGCTTTTTTTTTTTTTTTTTTTTTTTTTTTTTTTTTAAATTTTTATTTACGTCACTGAGAAGGTTTAGGGATGCAGGTAGCAGGGCGTTATTTACCAGTGATGTGTTTGTGTGGAATTCGGTGTGTTGGTGTTTTGTTGGCTTTTTTTTTTTTTTTTTTTTTTTTTTTTTTTTTTTTTTTTTTTTTTTTTTTTTTTTTTTTTTTTTTTTTTTTTTTTTTTTTTTTGAAATGATTCATCGGTGCCGCAAGTTCCGGCATTTTGCGTGACCACACGACAATCAATCAGCTTCTGATCTTATCATATATTGGTTCTTAAACAAAACCCATGAGTGTATTGCAACAGATCAACGAATGAAGTCAGCCAGGACTGTGTTCTCAAAGTGAAGTCGTCATGAACAAAGCCGCAGCCATGACAAATCACCATATATCATCATCTACATAACCCTCGAACACGTTTCCAGAGGATTCATAATTATCAAATCCCGAACAATAGTGAAATCTAGTTGTTCAGTCCCATGAAAAAACACAAATGATGCCCATTATACGTCATAGTCACACTCAGCAACCCCAAGAAGTCAAGCACCTCCTTAACGAATCATGGATTCCCCAAACGCCCAAGAACCCTCGCATGATCCGTGGGAATCAGACACCTCTGAAGAAGACGGCCAACGCTCTCGACCTCTGCCTTTTCCTTTACCACGTCTACATCTCCGCCGGCGGTCAACTCGCGGAGCTAAGCCGTGTAGGGATTTAGAGGACCTCGAAATTAGAGACTGGTTGAGAAAACACCCTTCTCCATTTGGCAGTCGAGATGGAGCTTGCGCGTGATATATTGTTCCCCTCCTGAAAGAACATGGAATTGGTGGAGAAGTTGGCTTCTGTTAAGTAACTCCATGTTTGGGTCAATTATGGGGTCTGAAGGCGACAAGGTTTGAGGAGGGACAGCCAGAATGTGTTGTTGAAGAAGGATGGACTTGGTGATGGTTTGGATTCGAGGTCGTTTGATACTTGGAGCCGGATCTGGTATTGGTCACTGGCAACTGCCAGGTTGCCATGACTGTCAGCTGGACACATGGATATCGATACGTTTTGGGGAAGAATGGAATACTCAGATATGAATCTGGAGGAATTGATATTTACTTGGAGGGTCAAGACGCAACTGTGAGCCAATTTTTCCCTCTCCGCAGCAGGGAAGACTCCGGATTGGCGTTGGATCCCAGCTGGCGCTTGACTGACGAAGTCATACATGCATCTTGAGCTACGCATTCCTTATCCTTCATACAACTCACCCATGTTTTCTTTGCAGAAGCTTATCATCAAAAATGGCACCAAAAATTTTGATCGTCCCAAGCTTGTCATACATGCGCCCATCCGTTATGGGCTAGAACCTGCATCTCATTGATTAAACAAAACACGCCGGGCTCGCGATTCCCGCTCTTTTCTTTTTCCCAATGCCTAACCCTTGATCGTACAACCACCCCTTCCAATGTAATTGATGTCCAGCGTTTTAACCTGTTTTTCCACATTCCAGTGCATATCCCCCACGCGGATACCCACGATCCGGCTGGGTGTGTAGCAACGTATGCCTCGGGATTATAGCCAACTCTCACTTTGGGGTTGAGATAGACGCCGAGTGTTCTGGAGAGAGGATTGTCGGCGTGTATGAGGCAACATTCGGAGCCTTCTAGGTGGTAATTCGCTAGGGAGTCGGGGACGCCACGGAAGCGGAGCTTGGTTGAGGAGACGAATGGCTCGGCGGGCATAACGACTGCATACGAGTGTCAGCTTTCGTGAAACTCGGCGGCTTTCCCCCCTTCTGGTCCGAACGGACGGGTATTGAGACGCACCAATGCCATTCCAACAGCTAGCGACAGGCACGGCGTCCAAATTGCTTACGAGGGCGTTTCTCGACGTCCTCGCTTTAAAATACGGCCAGGTCTGCATCACATGTCCGTGGCCCTCGATATCCCGAAGCGCAAAGGTATCATAGTACAAGGGGGGTCTCGCAAAATCCAACGAGCAAGCTGCTGCATACTCACCTCCATTCGTGTCCATCAATGTCAGTACATCTTCCACCTGGCAACCATAAAAGTCAGCCATCCAGCATTCCCCAAATGTGCTCAGGGACACAATCTCTATATCTCACCGTGAATACCACGTCGTTGAGAAACAGCACCTTGTCAAACTCAACACCCTGCTTATGAAGATGCAGCAGATCCTTGATTGTCTTATTCCTCAATCTTGACAGGTACGGGATGCGGCGCAATTCCTTCTTCTTTCTCGGCGTATCAATCCAACCGTCGCCCTTGTCCGCACTGTCCAACTCGTCCTGATGGGTCACATCAGACACCTCCACGCGGTGCGGGACACCTCTTCTTTCTAGATCGCGATCCAGCTCCCGCAGAACCTCCTTGCTGTCGTCCCAGCTGCCGCTTTCGAATATACTGACAAACACATTCTTGGGACCAAATGTCTCTGTCAACCCAATGACGGCGTCGTTCCAATGGCTCTTCAGGATGGCGCCATTGTTGAAGTGCATGCTGGCAATATAGATTCGCTCGTGCGGCCGCGACGGCCCAGGGCCAGGGGGGTTGGATCGACGTTGCACATCGCCGTGACTGAGGTTGTGATGGATACGGAGCACGTCGATAAAGTTGAAGAGTAGGAACAGGCATACTGCTACCCGGGTAACACGCAGGCGGAGGATGCGGCGGATGTACAGGCGGTTAGCTGGGGTGAGAACCATGATTGCTCGCCCTGTATAGCTGCGTGGTGGATTGGGGAAGCACCATGACCCTCTCCGACCGCTCGCTGATGACGTTACAAGCTGGAATCCTCAATGATCATGGCGCAGAGACTACAAGCCTCAGTTGAGGTCCAGCAATGGGATTTGGGAGCTTGGGGCAAAGTCTGCGTGTATAATAACGGATCTGATTGCTTTGAGGTTACACTCCAGACGTCCGGCTTGCATGTGTCCAGAATGTCGGCGCAGGGGTGACCAGACCTTGACGTCTTCGACACGCCCCAGCCGCCAGCCGGCGTGTCGAGGTGCTTGGCAAGGTACCTACTAATAATAACTAAGTATAGGTACCTAGCAGGTACATGGGTCTGGTGTAATGTGGAGTCTGGTGGTTGCTCGATGAAGACTCGGTGCTGTTGGAACCCAGAATACAAGGATGCGGCGACGCATCCACTTCTCAAATATACTACGCATGTGCGGCTCTTCGCGGATCGTGTATTTGCTTTGATGAGTTGAATGTTGATATCTACCTATGTATACGTAGATATCTTTAATCAATTGTTAGTTTTAGTTTTACAACTACCGAGTACCGCCCATTTTGCTGACTTCCAGCACCCAGTAAATCCCTTTCTTTACACCCTTTACTTTGTAGCCACTATTTCCACTCACATTCATTACTACCCGAGAGACACATGCACAAGCACATGGTTCCATTTTCGCTGCAATTCCCTTATGGGATGCACTATCGTCCGCAACTTATTTGGCAAAGTGCAAGTCGTAGCCCAGCCACTTCCTTCGAACAACCTGCTCAACAGACAAACCGGGGTAACCATACGTCAATGGGAGGAAGAACCACCAGCCGGCAATGACAATGGTCAGTACCACGCCGCAGGCAATCCAAGCTCCCATCATGCTCTGGCCGGCGAATCTCTCGCGCGCCGTGAGGTGCTTCCTGGGGCTCTCCCTGGGGCCTCTGGTCTCGTCAACTGGTTCTGCACTGAAAACAAACTCGATGAGTGCACCGGCGACCAGGCACGAGGCAAGATGAGCAGGTAAATAGTGGTGTAGGAAGAGCTGGCGGCCCATCACAAAGAACGGAAAGTAATGGGTGGCCCATGCAACCCAGAAGAAGCCAGTAGAATTGTATAAGCGGGAACGCGTACCTGACGTCCACATTAGCGTCTTGCGCCCCAGTCATTACGCCGCTGAGGAAGGAAAATTACTTACGGTGGTCCAATGCATCGATGCCTCGGCGCAGAGAGATCTGATCAGCGAGAACAATTCCAATGTAGACAGCCAACAAGCTACTTGCAAGCCACCAGCCAATTGGGTTTCCAAGGAAATAGATCTGCTGGCGCGTGTCGTTCTGGGTCCAGAAACTGACGCCGCGCAACAGGAATGGCCACTGGTAAGGATGGCTGGCGTAAGGGTGACTGCTGGTCAGCTTGCTGTTGTGGTAGAACATAGCTCGCTGCAGCTCAAACCACTTGCGCAGGAAGGGCAAAGTCTTGACTTTGCGCTCGGGCTTCTCCCGTCGGGCATCGTCGGCAGCCAGAGACGTAATATCATCAACCAACCAGATGTTCGAGCTGGGGGCGATCTGCTTATTGCCGTTGATTTCCTGCTGGTGGGAACCCCATTCAGGCAGAGGCTTGGTGTGAGTCCACATGGCGACTTTGCTGGGGAAGTGAATGAGTTTGAAGTAGCTAGCAATGGTCTTGAACTCCTGGCCGTTCTTGCCGTTCTCAATCCGAATCTCGAACAAGGTGTCGTTGACGCGACTGCCGTAGGCATCTTCCTGAGAAACAGTGGTGAACTCCTGGTTGGTAGGATAGTAGGGAGACGCTACGTCGTGTGACAGGAGAATCGTGTCAGTGCCAACGTGTCTCAACCGAATCAATTCATTGTTCTTGACCTTGCGACCCATTTGCTTGTCGTCGCTAGCGGGAAGAATCTGCCAGTAGTTGTTAGTATCATTATGGGGGTAGCCAGTAACCTGTTGACCCTGGCTGGAAACACGGCCATCGTCGTAGCGCAAGGGGTACTGGTCGGGATGACTGTGCAGGAACGCCTTGGTCTCCTTGTGTTTGATCGTGATGGTGTCGTAGTACTGAATGTCGACCGCGTTCGCCAACATGACATTGTCACTCAATGTTTCCTGGAATTCGGGCGACATGAAATCATCCCCGGGACCGGAGCGAGACAATACGGCAAAGTGGACCTGGAACCAGAACAAATAAAACAGGAATGGAAGGACAATGAGGCCAACAGCTCGAGCAGCAAAGTGCTTTCCAAACTGAGGAAGGCTGATGGCGCCTCCCGGGCGCTTGATGTCCAGCAGATCCCAGAGATCAATGATAACCGCGGCACCAATGGTGACAAAGGCGAAGGTACCGACATACTTGGTGGACATATCGCAGGACAGGGCAAAGCCGGTCAGGATGAGCCATTTCCACCACTTGCGACTGAACGGCTCGTGACGAAGCTTGTAAAACTTGATGTAGAAAAGCAGACTGCATGCCATAGCCAGGACCAAAGTAGCATCAAGAAGGATCAGTCGAGTCTGGCCAATGTGGGCGTTGTCAAATAGAACAAGACCAGCGGCAATGATGCAAGCAGGAACGCTATAACCCGACTCCCACATGATGAGATACGTAACAGACACGGTCAAGGCGCCCAAGATGGCAGGGAGAGCTCGGAATGCCACATAAGGCACTTTGTTGTCAATGTAGGAGTCACCAATGTTTTCGAAGTGGAAGTGACCGTCGTAGCCCACCAGCCAGCCCATGAAGGCAAACAAAAGCTTGGCAAAGGGAGGATGCACATCGAAGAAGTAGGTTCGTTCAAGGTAGTATGAGGCGAACTGCGTTGCGATGGATTAGCAAAGGAAGAGGAAGTATGATTGACGATTCTTTCGGCCGTTGTAAGCACCCACCTTGCCAAAGTGGACTTCATCAAACACCACCTCATTGGGGTGGCTAATTCCCCAGAATCTGGTGACAAAAGCCAGAATGGTGGTCAAGGAGAAGGCCGCCCAGTGATCGCGCTCGCAATTGGATGCATTCTTCTTAATTGAGGCTTTGGCAAGCTTGTCGAGCTCTACGTCAACGGCGGAGGTGTTTGAGTCGGCCTTTTTGGAGCCAACGTTTCTCTGCCGCAAGCTGCCTTGCGGTGTTTGGCTGCGGGCCATGATTCTATAGTCCAAAAATTTGCGCGGTCAGCGGCGAGACTCGATGAATGAGTAGACGGGATACAAGGGGGGATGTGGTGCGATGATTTTTCTCGTCATTTGCGATCGCGTTGGGATTCAGGGACTGGCGACTCACAAAACGGCAGGGAGGCTTGATGCCGAAGATGCAGAAGAAAAAAAAGGAATAAGATACAAAAAGGACAAGGAGAAACGAACTGAAAGAACAGAACCGCCAAATCAAGACACGCAAATATGTGTGTTGAAGGCTTGAGTTGGAGATGCAAAAAGGGTTGGCCTCCCTCCTTGCCAGGAAACGAATGATGAAGCTGGAGCAAGGAGACAATTTACGACACAAACGTGTCAATGTGGCCGAGTCCAGCAGCCCCAGCCAGACAAGTGCGCCCCCGGTAGACAAGTGCGCCCCCGGTCAGTATGGAGTGTCTCCTGTTCAGCCCTTCCTTGACGATCAGTTAGTTACGTTACGTATCTTTGGAACACCCTGGCCAAATATCGATGAGAGTTACAATGGGACTAGTAGTAAACGCTAATGACGTTTGTCTTTGCCCCTGCATACTGCAGTTCCCGTTGCTTCGTGTTGCCAACGTGGATAGTTCCTCTTGGGGTGGGCGACACGTTCCAAGTTGATTCGCGGCATTCCAAGTCGAGTCCAAGATAGAAAGATGCAGCTATTGAATACATGTAAGATGGGATTGGTAGATATTAAGAAACAGTTATTCGCCTCAACGCTGAAAAAAAAAAACCGTCTCCTTAGGTACCCTCCATGCCAAAGTGTTGCAGCAGCTGAGCCAGTTGCTGCCTCTGAAATTGGAATTCTTGGATGCTTCGGATCAGGAGCCTTATAATATCTTTTCAAAGTGATGCCACCGGGAAACATTTCTGTTATTTTCACCAATCTAGACACCCGGATAGCCATGGGCAGCATTCGTCATGTCCCGTGCCACATTCCACACTCAGCACCAAACTATCCGACTCTCCGGTGCGCTCCGAAGACCGTCGTCCTAGTTCGCGAACCACCATTGACCCCGCCATATCGAGTAAACACCACGTACATTGTACGTAACAAATTACCTTTGTCCACGTCCAGGCTGGCCCAAGCTGCGCACATGTGGACCATCTGCCACTAGACACCAATTGATCAGCTAGGCCGCCAAAACCCGCCAGCTTTTGCTGCCCCGCCGCGGGGTGAAGGACGCCGGGTGTCGGAGACAGCAGGAGCTCCCAGATGCCTCCTCCAGTCTGCTTGAGATAGTAGTTACTTGAGCTGTACTATTTGTAAACCCCCATCCCCCTTCCTCCATCGCGCGCCCTTTTCGCTTTTGAAACGCTCATTCTGTAGGATACATCAGCCCCTGTCAAAAGAGAACCAACTTGACTTACGCACAACGGCTCTCGTTATTCTCTATAGGTATGTCGTCGATCGTTGCTCGGCTTGCCCCGCGATCCTCCATTGCGAGCATCACCATATCTGCTCGACGGGCGGTAGTAGCAGGATCAAAGTTCACACCAATCCCAGTTCATTTTCGTGCAAAATCAACAATGGCGGACCAACAGATTGTTTTCACCAAGGACGCCCCTTTCCGTAAGTATTCCAGAGAGCTGTGTGCTCTGTCCCTCCTCCGATCCGGCTCCGATTGTACTGATAAGCTCCTACGAAATTTAGCTGTCGGCCCTTACGTGAGTCCTGGCCCTTTAATGGGGGTGAAAAAAACAAGAAACACACCACGCGCTTGCGCGAATACTAACGAAGCTTTCCCCACGTAGTCCCAGGCCATCAAGACCCCTTCGGCCATCTACTGCTCCGGCCAGATTCCCCTCACTGCTGAGGGCACCTTGGTTGAGGGCTCCATCACAGACCAGACTAAGCAGTGCTGCCAGAACCTCGAGGCCGTCCTGAAGGAGGCTGGTTCTTCTATCGCCAAGGTCGTCAAGTGCAACATCTTCATCTCTGATATGGCCCACTTCGCCGTACGTATCTCATTTCTATCTACCTGTTCTACTTGGTTGTGATTTGGAGCTGACCCGTCACAATAGGAGATGAACTCTGTCTACGAGAAATGGTTCGCTCACAAGCCCGCCCGCAGTTGCGTCGCCGTCAAGACCCTCCCCAAGAACGTTGATGTCGAGATCGAGGCTATTGCTCTCCCTTAAGCGTGCGTTGAGGTAGATAACATGTAGCTAGGTCCAGCCAGAGCAAATCAAAACTGTAAAAGTATATCAACCTGGTCTATAGTATAAAAAGTTCATCATCAGTAGTCGTGACAAGTATTGGGGTCCAATTGCCTAGATATTGTCTGTTTGCGTTGCATAGTTCTCTACAGCTAACGGGACATGAGCCAGTGACTGTTAATCCTTATTTACAAGACATAGTCTAGCTCCTATATGCGTCTATTTTTAGGCATTCCAAATCACGATACGTCCATCGACACCGCTTGCTGTAGTAATTGTTAGCTGTTTGGATACAGTGATGAGGGAAGAGTCATGTCACATGCGATGGGATATACGCACAACTGAACTTGGTGACTTGGCCACCAGAAGACTCAAACGGACGGAGGGTAGTAATCGTGTTCTGGTGGATGGTTTTCAGCTGCGTATCATCCTTAACTTTGCCCTTGAGGTCCATCTGTCTGAACATGTTGAGAGCAGACTCCTCACGCTGAGCTCCGGCATCACGACCCTTGGGCTCAACAGGACCCGCAAGCTGCCAGCCTGATTCGCCACCCTTGAAGCGGAAAGCCTCGCAGTCGTAACCGGCTGCGATTATTTCATCTTCGTTCTTCCAGATCAAGCTCTTGAATGGCAAAAGCTGTGTCGAGACGGTGAGAATGGCGCGGGGCGGCTGTTCAGGGCCAGAGGGATAGACAACAGTAACACTACTGTCGTGAGCGGCAAAAGCAAGGCTGTCACCGCTTGGGGAGAAGGCAACAGAGTGAACCCAACCAGCAGAGTTGTTCAAGAACTCTCCGCAAACGGTGTTGAAAGGAAGTCTCTCACCCCAGACACTGGGTTCAGGTTTCGCGTCGACCCCTTTGATAAAGCTAGAGAAGACTCTGGCATGGGCATCGGTTGAACCGGCGGCAAGGAGCACCGAGTTTGGGTGCCACGCAACACTCGTTATGGTGCTGCGAATGGGCTTCTTCAGGTGCTTGGATACCCACCAGTCATTCTCCTCTTCGAAGTAGCAGATGGCGATGACCCGGTCACCGGACCCAACGGCGAACTTGGTTTCAGACGGGGACCATCGAACAAAAGTAGCGGCTCGACTGATTCGGAGAAGCACGAGAGTAGGTTTGTACCCTGTGGGAGATGGCTCCCAAACCAACGCGTTTCGGTCTATCCTCTGTTAGCTGGAAATACAAATGCAAGATGCTAGGTAGAGTTCTTGCCCTGAGAGCAGGTAACAATGCGACCGCTATGAGGAGCGATGTCTACACTAGTGACCGTCTTATCGTGGCCCTTCAGCTCATCCTTGAGCTTGAATGCGTTTCCCACTCTGCCGTACAGCTCGACATACGAGTCTCGGGCCACAGCCAGCGTGCCATGGTCAGCCGAGAACGAGTGGTCCGCAATGGGGTTATGGAACAAGTGATGAACCTCAGGAGCCGCCATAGTGGTGAGTTGTCTTTGGCGATAGGAGTAGCTCTCTACTACCGCAGGTCAAGGAAATACAGTCGCAAAAGTAAAGGTTGAACTTGACGATGACGGCGGGGTCCTGATTCTGCGAGGACGTCTTACGTATGGTGAGGGTACGTACCTACTAGGTGGAGCTCGGACCACACCTAGCTGGTCGCAGAATACCGCAACATCGACGAAAACTTAAGTTTTCCAGCACTATTTCTTGCACCTTCGACCGCCGTGAACGACCAGATCCCACGAGGATATATGAAAAATCATTGTGCACGCATATTTCAATCAGAGACCCACAGCCATTGAGTCACCATGGCCACAGCCGTCCCTACTCGAGGTTTGGTGCCGAACGCTTCCCTGCCGGCCAAAGTTCAGCCCATCCCCCCCAACCAGACGTGAGTGCATACGGTCATTGCACCCCTCAAGCCTCTATCTGACCTTTTTAGGCTGTATGTAACGAATCTTCCGTCTTCAAAAATCCAAAAAGCCGATCTTCGAACTGCCCTTTACCTTCTCTTTTCGACGTACGGGCCGGTTCTAGATGTCGTTGCTCTGAAAACGATGTCCATGCGAGGGCAAGCACATATTGTCTACCGGGATGTGCAAACAGCTACTCAGGCTATGAGGTCTTTGGAGGGACAAGAATTTTTAGGCCGGCAGCTTGTGAGTGCCATTCGTATTCCTTTGAGAAACCAGACACTGACATGAGATCCAATGCTTAGAAGATTCAATATGCCAAGTCGAAGTCGCACTTTGTTTCCAAGTTAGATGGAACTTTCAAGATGCCCAGCGCATCGGGGGCCGCAGTGGTCGAACAAACACAACTTCAGCAAAGCATTTTCAACGCGCCACCACCGGGATCCGTTGCTCCTGCAAAACCACCTGCTGCTGTTGACCATGTCATGAATGACGCGGGTACGCCAGAAAGCCGCGGTCAAAAGCGAGGACGAGAAGACGAGGACGAAGGCGAGGAGAGCGAAAGCGACGTGGCAATGGAGGAGGACAGTGACGACGAATGAGCTTCAGGGGCCTCAGACGAACAATATTGTAAGCCTACAACACAGTGTCTCGTTAAAGACAGCCGGATGTTTCATTGAAATGCCATTTCTTTGGGTATCCACAGGCCTACACACCCTCCAACTAAGCCGAGCCAAACCATCAAGTAGTCCTGTCTGGAGCACTTGAAGTTCGATATGGCATCTCCAAGCAAGCATGGATGAACAAAGAAGGCGGGGACTCCTGTTACAGGGTGATGCTATAGCGAACAACATGTATGAGTCTAATGAGTCCAATCAAAGACTTTAAGTATTCGAAAAACTCACATCTGCGGAGATACCGCCAATTCCCCCAAGCCCTCGGAGGCCCTCCTTGTACTCATCGGGGACGAGACGACGGAATACGGTGTCAATATTGAAGGCAGGCTCATGTGAGGGAAGACCATGGAGACTAAACCAAAGGCATGGAACCCTATATGTGGGATGAAGATGAATTTCATAAGTCACGGTCTCTGCGGCTTGAGACGTTGGTTTTACGATGGCGGCCTAGCATAACCGTGAGCATATGATATTACAGCTACATACCAATAGTAACAGCCACATACCTCGTCCGATTCATCGTCAATCATCTTATCGTCTGCTGTCGGAATGTCATAGATTGTGGGAGAAGACGGGGATATTGTAAAGCCGTCCAAATGCAAATCAAGGTCGTCCGGTATCTCTAGTGGACGAACAATTTGAATATATGTAGTATACCCCCCCTCGGTGGAAAAAGCCAGGTCGAGAGCTGTGCACACTTTGAGCTTCCATCGCTTTCTCAATGGCCCTAGGGTTGCACGGCAGTATTGTCTGTCAAGATGATGACAAGCTTCTGCGAATTCCTCTGGGTTGAGAAATGGGTAGTTTTGAATATCCATGTCTGAGAGGAAGGGTTCGATTGCCTCCTTTATCAAGAATGAGGGCCAACTTTGGATAGAGAGTCGAGCAGGGCGAGGAGCAGTCCTGTGCTTTGAGCAAATAGCGCGCGTCTAGACCAAATATCTGTCAACTAGGTTATCCTCCACCTTCCTGGTCCCTTTCCTATGGCCTGTCAGGTACTAAATTGAAGACATAGCTGCATTTGAGATGCCACGAGAGTGAAGAGCAAATAAGTCGGGGCCATGGGATCAGTCCACAGGCACTAAACCTTATGCCAGAGGGGCGACCTCGGGAGAAGAGTGGCCCACATGCAACCACCAACTAGTTAACGAGAAATGGTCTGGGTCAGGTCACAGGTCAGGTAGGCGAGCAATGGCCGGGTCACCGTGCTACACTCTCTGTCGATTTCTAGGGGACCCCCCCCGCTGGCTGGGTCCTCCGTCGTCGCCCGTCGACTTGCATTTAGTCGTTCAGCACGATTACTCCGTAAACTGCAACGTGTCGCCATTGTGGAGGACAATATACTCTCGCATCGTCGAATGAGCCGTTCTCGACAGCACAAATCGCACAAGCTTTGGCTCTAGAGCTTGCTTGCGGTCCAGATCCTCACGGCGAGAGCGTGGCTTCTGCGCTGCACGAGATGAGCCAGCCGGCCCAATGATCCGCGATCCTTTTGACATCCACCGCAAGAACGCCTTTAAAGCCACAGCCTTCCAAACAGTCCAACACATAACGACGACAGCAGCGCATGTCGGCGCAGCGGCCCTCGACATGTCGTTCCATATCCCAAAGAATGTTCCCAACTTTGGAGCTCCGCATCGAGACCTAGAGGACAGAGCCTGGGCAGCGCTATCACGAAGCAAAGGGGATGCGCCGCATGGTTTTATAAACGGCGTCCAGAGGAAGGTGTCACATTACTTCGACGACGATTCGTTGCCCATGTATAAAGATAAGCCGTACGGGCACGGGAGGAAGCGATGGTGGCGAAGAAAACGAGTACTAAGCACAATTGCGCTTGCTTCGTTGACGTTTCTCTGGTTGACTGGATTCTTTGGCAGCAATGACGGGAAGCAGTCCTCGACGTCGAAATCTACATGGGCATGGTTGGGCATGTCCAGGATCAACAAGGCTGCTAACTGGGACGCGAGACGGCAGAGTGTTGTCGAAGCGTTCGAGTTAAGCTGGGATACGTATTCGCGCTATGCCTGGGGTAAGATTCTACCGATTCCCCTCGATTTTTCGTCTATGCGCTGCTGTATTTGCTAACTGCATCTTCTTTTTCTTCAGGCTATGACGAGTATCACCCAGTTTCGAAGACTGGGAAGAATATGGCCCCCAAAGGATTGGGTTGGATTATAATTGATTCACTCGACACGATGATGTTGATGAACTTGACATCCCGAGTAGAACATGCTCGCGAATGGCTGTCGAAATCATTGACTTGGGACCAAGACCAGGATGTCAATACGTTTGAAACTACGATACGCATGCTCGGCGGTCTCTTGTCCGCTCACTACATTTCCAACGAATACCCTAACCTGGCACCTGTGAAGGACGATGACCACGGGAATCCGGGCGAGGACCTTTACCTGGAAAAGGCCAAAGATTTGGCTGACCGACTGATGGCTGCATTCGAGTCCGAATCTGGCGTTCCTTATGCTAGTGTAAACCTTGGCAAGATGCAAGGTCTTCCCTCTCATGCAGATGGCGGCGCCTCTTCCACTGCTGAAGCAACCACTGTTCAACTCGAATTTAAATACCTTGCAAAGCTGACCGGCGAAACCAACTTCTGGGAAAAGGCCGAAAAGGTTATGGAAGTCGTTGACAATAACAACCCCAAGGCTGGTCTGGTCCCCATCTACCTCTACGCAACAACTGGAGAGTTTCGAGGCTCGAATATTCGCCTGGGAAGCCGGGGTGATTCGTATTATGAGTACCTGATCAAGCAGTACCTTCAGACGAACAAGCAGGAACCGGTATACGAACAAATGTGGGACGAAGCTCTCGAAGGTGTTCGCAAGCACCTCATCACGTACACGGAACCGACTGGTTATACCATCATCGGGGAACGACCAAGTGGATTAGACGGCTACCTGTCACCCAAGATGGACCACCTTGTGTGCTTCATGCCTGGAACTATAGCCCTAGGTGCTACCGGGGGACTTACGGAAGCGGAGGCGCGCAAGCTTCCTTCGTGGAATAAGAAGAAGGAAGACGAAATGAAACTCGCTCGGGAGTTGATGCAGACCTGCTGGGGCATGTACAAGGTCATGGCCACGGGACTGGCGGCCGAGATTACATACTTCAAAATCGCGGATCCGCCTCTGCCAGAATCGGCGCCTCATCACCCGCCAGCCGAGTTTGATACTGACCCTCAAGCCACCTGGCGACAAGACTTCCAGGTCCAGCCGAACGACGTACACAATTTGCAACGACCAGAGACTGTGGAGAGCCTGTTTTACATGTGGAGAATCACGGGTGATGTCCGATACCGTGAATGGGGGTGGGAGATGTTTGAGTCGTTTGTCAACTACACAGCTGTTGAGGACGAGGGCGGCTTTACAAGTTTAAGCAATGCCAATACGATTCCACCCGTGACCAAGGACAATATGGAAAGTTTCTGGCTGGTAAGTCTAGACGTGCCATGGATGTATGCTGCATCTGACTCGGAAGAGATTGTTGACCATCTATCTGCAGGCTGAAACCTTGAAATACCTGTACCTCCTATTCTCGCCGAACGACTTGTTACCCCTGGACAAGGTCGTCATCAACACCGAGGCACATCCGTTCCCTCGATTCGACTTGGGCAGGCTCTTCTCAACTGGATGGAAGCGCAAACCTCGGGATGCCAATGGCAATATTGTTGGGAAGACGGGGGCTGTATCTGCATAAACCCGCCCGGGCGGTGGAGTTTAACTGGCATCTGTTTGCATCTCACGGCGGTGGTAGTGTTCAGCTTTAACTGACTAGAGAGCTGTCATCTCTGTCATATATGTACATGTTATTTCGCTGTTAAACTACAAGTCTATCTTTGTAATGAAGTAAAGAAATGTACCGTGGGCTCACTGATATCACGAAGCCAAGTAGAGTGTCGGGCGTGTTTGCTACTGTATTTCAATATCTGGGCGGCAGCTGCAATGCTTCTTTTTCCGTGCGCTGAAATGGCGCGGTGGTACTCCCCTTCTTTCTTTGTGGTCTGAAGATATAACACCAACTACCTACTACGGAATGGCTAATCCTGGCGCTGGCACTTGGTCCTGCCACCACGGCTCCCAACGCTGTTCAGGAGTGGCGTCAGCCGGGTTCAGCCACCAAAGGTCCTGGGAACTGCAAATATTGGTATGGCTCGCAAGTCCCGATAACACTTGACCACAAGAAGTTTTGTCGGTACTTGCTCCGTACACTACAACTTGGAAGGGAGGGTTTCGGGACTTTGTAGTTTGTGGTAGGTACCCGTTGTTGCAACCGGGGGCTCACTCCGCGTTGCCAAGACCTCAGCGCCTAGCAGGGCAGAGGACGGAAGTCTGTGCGATTGAGTGATTTGAGTGATTGAATGAGGGACTGGGGCTGGGTGGCGTCGGGTTACTGCGGACACCGTTGCAACAGGCGCGCGCCGTCATCACGACAAACGCCAAGTCGCTATACAATGTTCCAATGCTGTTTACTCCGTACTCGGTCAAAAGTATTATAGAACAGGTGCAGTAAGCCAAGGGTGAAATAGATAAAGTACCCCGAATACTCTGGTGAACAAGAACCTGCTCCGCACGTCGCCGTTGCATGTTACATTCGGGACATCGAGCTAGCGCTCGCTCGGCGTCGGTCCATCCTTGAGGGGCAGCTGGCACGATATCAGCCCGCCGGCCTGCTAAACCTGGCAACCTGGACCTGAACCACCAGTGACATGTGTTGGCGCCCATCCTTGGACATCCATCCTTGAATGTCTGGATGTGGACAAACGTGGCGAAGAACTACACCAGCACAGCAAACAGACGGAGGAGGCTTGATCCACCGCACCCCCACACACAACCCGACTATTTCTTTGACATTTGGCAGACAAGGCTTCCTTCCGACGCTAAATTGTAAACACATCGCCAGCAGATTCGTTGGGAGACGCCATTTAACGTATTCAACCGGCCTGCTGCCCATCTCTCCCCAACAGCTATCCGCCACTCTCACATCCAACAGCTCTTCTGCTCCCGCAGTCATCTACGCATATTGCACCTCCAAGGTTGGCGACATGTGCCATTGGCGCCAGCAGCTGTGACCTTGGCCGTTCGTTGACCACTCTGATATTGACCGCCGAGCGTTGTCAAGCTGCCGAGGGCTTGACTATGGTGAGCGGCGGAGCCAGCTTCGAGTCTCGATGATGATAAGCTGCCATTTCGGCATCATGTCCGCATAGTCGCCGTGCCGTTGCGGTCTTTAAACAGCGAACATTCGACGTATCTGCCAACCTCAATATCGACTCTGCCGTCCCTGGCGGGCTGGTTGGTCTCGTCATCCCGCCGCCGAGCCTGCGTCGCGCCAAACGCAGATTCCAACCGCACCATTGAGGATGGCACCGCCGCGAGATATCGAGCTGAACACTGTCCATAATTCCAAAATCAAAGAAGAGTCATTTACGCACGGCAGTTCCCACAGCATGCGCGAGCCAGAATACTACGACGACCGACCGTCGCCCCGCTTTCAACGCTTCCTCGATGGCTTCAAGAGAGATACTAGCCTTTCGTTCTTCCCGAGCGACCACCTCGGTCAGGTCAACAGCCATGCTAGCCAACGTCGATATGGGAATCATTACTACGACTTGCGCCTGGCGGCGCTCGAGTCCGCAAATACCGGATTGGCGAGGAAGCTCAAAGGGAGACATTTGCAGATGATTGCCATAGGAGGCTCCATAGGTACGCTGACCGTCCACGCCACGGCAGAACCCTTGACGCAGCAAAAAGCCATCTTGTTCCCATTTTATTTATTTTTTGTTTATTTTTATTTTTATTCAAAGCTGTTTGATAGCACACGGGTTGTTCTAACTTTGGTCGCGTCGTATAGGTACTGGTCTCTTCGTCGCTTCAGGCGCCGCCTTGCATTCTGGAGGTCCAGCTTCATTACTTGTCGCATTCAGCATCGTTGGAACTATGCTCTATTGCACTTGCCAGGCTCTTGGTGAACTGGCCGTGTTATTTCCGATTGCCGGGTCCTTCTCATCGTGGGCAACGCGTTTTCTGGACCCGTCGTGGGGATTTGCCATGGGTTGGAAGTGAGTTTGCACCGCAACCCGTTTGCTGCCCTCCCAAATGTCGATGATATATCGTGCTAATCACGCCCGTTCCGTAGCTACGCGGTGCAATGGCTCACCGTCTTGCCACTCGAAATTATAGCCGCGTCTCTGACAATCAGTTACTGGGGCGAGACGCTACCAAAGGCCGTTTTCGTCAGCATATTTCTTGTTATAATCCTAATGATTAACCTCTTTGGCGTCAAGGGCTACGGTGAAGCCGAGTTTACCTTCTCTATCATCAAGGTTATTGCCGTCATCGGTTTCATGTACGACTCCCCCTGCCTAGTTTCACAAGTTGAAAACAACACACACTCTCCTCCATCTCTGGGCTTGTGGACACCATTCCCTGGCAAGTCAGACGTGTGGCTAACACATAAGCATCTGCAGTCTTCTCGGCATTGTCCTCAACTGCGGCGGAACACCAGACAGAGGCTACATTGGCGGCGAGTTCTGGCAAAACCCAGGCGCCTTCAACAACGGCTTCAAGGGTCTCTGCAGCGTCTTCGTCACCGCAGCATTCGCCTTTACGGGCACCGAACTCGTGGGTCTCGCAGCCGCCGAGACAGCCAACCCGCGCAAATCCCTCCCAACGGCGATCAAACAGGTCTTTTGGCGAATAACACTCTTCTACATCGTGGCCCTGACGCTCGTCGGCCTCCTGGTCCCCTACAACGACCCCCGCCTCATAGGCGGCGACAGCAAGGCCGACGCCAAGGCATCCCCCTTTGTCATCGCCATCGAAGAAGCCGGCATCGAAGTCCTGCCCTCGGTCATGAACGCTGTCATCCTCGTCGCCGTCCTGTCCGTCGGCAACTCTGCCGTCTTTGGCTCCTCGCGAACCCTCGCGGCCCTCGCCAACCTCCGACAGGCCCCCGCTATCCTCGGCTACGTCGATAGACGCGGCCGGCCCCTCGTCGCCATCCTCCTCGCCGCCCTCCTCGGCCTCCTTGCCTTCCTAGCCGACCTCAGGGAACAGTCCAGAGTGTTCGACTGGCTCCTCGCCATCTCCGGCCTCTCCACCGTCTTCACATGGACGTCCATTTGCTTCTGCCACATCCGCTTCCGCCGCGCCTGGACCTCCCGCGGCCGCCACCTCAGCGAAATGGCGTACAACTCCCAAGTCGGCGTCGTCGGCTCCTACGTCGGCTTCAGCCTCAATGTCCTCGTCCTCATTGCCCAGTTCTGGGTCGGCGCCTTCCCCATCGGATGGCAGGCCATGACCGCCGGCGAGGTCGCTCAAAACTTCTTCCTCAAGTTCATGGGCGTGCCCATCGTCTTGCTCTTCTACATCCTCCACAAGCTGTACTTCCGAACCAGCTTTGTCAGGGTTCGCGACATGGATATTGACACCGGCAGGAGAGATTTCAATCTACCCATTTTGATTGCTCAGGAGCAAGAGGAGAGGGCTTCGTGGCCCACATGGAAGAAGTTTTACAAGTTCATGTGTTGACGTCCTTCGACATTGTGAAGGAGGGGGCACAGGTTCATGTGACCCCGTTTTCTTTTCTTTTTACGTGGGTGGGGAGGTACATTTTTGAATTAGCGATCTCTTGTCTGGGCATTTGGATCTGGCCTGGGTGGCGTTGGAAATTATGATATATGGGCGGCAAGTGTTGTTTACTATATTATATACTAGCTATATGCATCACGGATCGTATATAGTCAAGGATACAAGCATAAATGAAGCAGCAACAAGACAGTCAATGACCGAGAAGCACTTGAAAGTGATTTATGTGCATCGTGGCCGATGAGCTTACCTTTGTACCACAAGTTGCACAAGATGATTTGATTTGACACCCATGTTAAATACAATTTATAAGCGAAAAAGCTTGAACTGGCACTGCATAGAACAAACATCAGCTACAGCAGCATCTTTATAGTCTGTACATACGGTTAAGTACATTATGTGCTCGAAACATACAAGTTTATACCCCTCATCCTCAGGACGGCTGTCATGATGCCCGAGACGGTGGATGATGATAAAAAAAGGGACAAATGAAAAAAAAAAACACATGATTATGGTAGAATATGTTTGAAGGGTGCAGATAGTGGCTCAATTTCTGTGGATTGAGTGCATGTCCAACACAGCGGGGATAGACAACAAACTAAGAAACAAATTCAGCAGAGTGGTAAAGAAAAGGCTCTCATGAATCATGAGCCATATAGGCGTATAAGTCGTCAATGCCAACACAAACTCTTCGTACAACCTTCACACAAGAAGTACAAGACCACCTTGTTGGATAATCCTGATCCCATGTCTGTAATCTTCTGGCGTCTTTTCTCGAGAACAAAAAAATTTTTTTTTTCAGCATCTTAGAAGTCCCAGAAGCTCTTTTGAGCGGCACCGGGGTTGGTCTTTCGTGATGTAGGTTTGGGGGTGTCATCGTCACCACCGCCATAAAGCCAGTCGCGGTTGGTACCCTTTCGGCCTCCCATACCATCACCAGCAATAATAATCTTGTTGTCTTCCAAGAATCGGCCCTCGCCTCGTTGCTTATTTTCCTTCTGGGCAGTCGGTGATTTATCGTAAGAAGACCAATTGGCGTCCATCATTTTAACAGCCTTCATCCGTCCCTCTGGAATATGGTGAGTGCGGGAGGACTCAGGAGCAGGCGACTCGTCAGTCATGGCGAAGTGGGGATCAAAGTCATTGCCACGGCCCTTTAAGTTGGTAATGTTTCCGAGAGCACGCTTGGGCTCAGGTGTAGCACCTTCCTGATCAAACAGTTTGTTCTTGTACAAGCCGAGGCCGTCATTGTGCATCGAACCTCTAGGGCGAGTATTTGCGCGCTCTTGGTGTGGCAGCTTCTCACCGTCATCCTGAAGCTCAAAATGGGTTTCGGCATCGCGGCGAGCTTTCCCAACCTGGTGAGCTGAGTCATCTTCCATGTTGCTAGCCTCGGTGTCCCAGTGACGAACATCCTGTGCTCGGTACTGCTTGGTAGGCTGAGTTTTTTGGGGGGTGGTGAAGTCTTGGAAATCCCACTGGCTATCATGCTTCGATTTCGGACGATTCTCGAATGAGACACCAGGCTGGGGTTTGTCCTGGGGATCGGATCCATCGACAAAGTCAAAGTGGCTATACCTTGAGGGATGGGGCTTAATGAACTTGTTCTTGGTGGTCTTGGGCGTCTCGTCCTCCTCCTCGACATGGTCCTGACCCTCAAAGATGCGCATAGGCTGAACATTCTTGCCCTGCCCAGCCTTGCTCGGCGAAGCTGATCGATGGTTGTGTTCTCCGTAGTGCTCACCGGTAGGATCGTCACCCAACACATCAGCAAAAGACCGCTGTCCTTTACGGTGACCTGCATAAGGTGACACGACGGTCTGGGACTCAGCAGCTTCCAGCTCCTCTCGATTTCCAAACAGTTGCAGGGATGCATGGGGGTCGCGCATAGCGTTGTTGGAACTGGCTCGGGATCGGATCACAACATCGTTGTGACTTTCGGGCCGCGTCGTGGCTGCGCCAGTCGACTTGAGGCAGGACTGGATCAAAGTGAGTTGCTCTCTGCTATCCCGAATAGGCCAATTGCGCCCAGTCTTGCCGATGATTTCCATCTGCTTGAGTAGAGAACCTTGGTCCCATTGTTGACGAATTTGAAGAATCTTGCCTTCCTCGTCAAGTGTTACGATGTGAATCTAGACGTGGCAAGTGTTAATTGGAAGCCAATTCTCCCATAGTGATAAGCCAGGTTGGCGCCGGCTAACGATTAAGCATGAAAGCCAAAGCTGTGAACTCACTATGGACAGATGGGCAACACGATCAGACAAGAAGTTGTCGTCCAGGCCGGGAAGGTAAGCGCCACCACTAGTTTGGAACTCCAGAGCCGTGTCGACTTCGGCGACAATGACGGTTTGTCCGTCGACAAGGTTCAGGAACTCCTGCTTCTTGACCTTGACCTGCTTCTGGAGCGTGTTGAGGTGCTTGATGATCTCAGTAGCACCAAAGACGGACGTCGTGGTGGTAACATAGTGCAGAGAGGCCTTGTCGGCCAGGAGAGAGGAGCTGGGAGAAGCCAAGAACTGCTTGTACACGGAAGTCATGGTGTATCCGGCTCGGTGGACGCGTGGGATCAGGGCGTGTTTGAGGTTGGAGATGAGGCGAGGCGGATGAAGCGCCGGCTTTTGGTTTGTTTGTTTTTGTCGGTCGCGAGGGGGAGGGATGTCGAACAGCGGGGCAGAGAGGTATGGTGTCTGTTATCCTACTTAAGTACTTAAGTTAAGTAGGTATCTGTGGCTGTTGTTTCGGCTCCGGTTGGCGGTTGACGGTTGACGGTTTCACAAAAAGGAGACACGGCGAAGAGGTAGAAGGAGAAGGAAGAGCTGGCCACAAGAGAGCGCAAAATTGATAAAGGAGAGCGGAATGGGCGAAGAAAAAGCAGAATATGATCAGACCTGGCTTTTGCGTCGGCGAGGAGCCACAACTTTTGGAACCAGGGACGGCTGGGGGGCGTCGAGGCGTCAAGTCGTGACCTTGGCGAGGGGCCGGATGTACATGCAACAGTAGTACTAGCTTCTCTCGCGTTGCTCCCTTTTGGTGCACCAGGTTGTATGGGTGTGTCTTTGTGGCCAACAGCGCGTCTGGTCTCCGTCACATTCGTCTGCCCGGGAAAATTGGAGGACGGGTTGAGGCGCCAAGGGGACAGACAGGGGCGTGAGGCGACAACAGGGACCGGCAGGGACCGGCAGGGCAGTGCAGGGAAGTGCCACGAGCTAAAGAGCTATGCTGGGGTCAGTGATCAGAAGCTTCCGCTATCCGTACAACTTCAAGAGAGATGATCAATTGATGGCATTTGGAAAAGGGGGGATTCGACTGATTTGACCTGGTCAACAAGCACAGTTGGCGTTGCCACGGCGCCGACGCCCCGCTGAGACGCGTCTATTAGGTACCTAAGTACCTAGTAGCACTCATGAGCCAGAAGCCAGACAACCACATGCACAGCATCAAGTACTAATGCTGGTGTAGTGCTTGCTGTAATACATGTAGGCATACAATATCAATTGAATGCCAATACAGCGCTAGATAGTCAGGAACGGGCACTGGGCACATCTGCGCTTATTAGCTTCAATGTCGACAGGACACGGGCACGTGGATCACCAACAGATATTTCGTGCATAGTATCTACTGCAAGTGCGTTGTATGTATGTACAATGTACGGAGTACATGTCGGTCCTTTGGTACCCACCGTCCCCATGTGCTTCATGCAGGTTACTCTGCACTCTGACTCTGAGTCGCAGGCAAACGAGTCTTTCATCTCGCGACGCATGAGCATGAATGGTGCTAACAGACAGGTGGATGCAATGCCAGCTTACAATACGGAGTAACCATGATACTATCCAATGCCTGAATGATAGATAATAGTACAGTAGATTACTCCGTATGACCATCCCATCTACTGGGCATGAAGTGCGGAACTTGCCTTGTACATACTTCCATGACGATTCGACAAACGCAATCAATCTGCGAGTCGCCGCCACTCTGCTAGACTGTTGAATGCCACTATTCCATGACTACTTAAGTAGGCTATCCTAGCATGCCTTTGGGCCAAGGGACGAGGAAGGGAGTAACTACCTCCTAATAGGTACCTAGGTAATTAAAAATGGTTCGCTCCGATTGAGCCGGTATCCTGTTCCGGCTAGCCTTGTGATTCTGTTTTACTACCACTCCGTACTAGTTGTTTTTTGTCCTCGTCCTGGAAATGCACGCGGAAACTTTGTCGGACATTTCTGGCAAGTCAGAACAACGGCCGTCGCGTTTCACCTATAACATGTACCCCGTACTCCGTACATGCATGTATACATGCACATACAGCCCCGAGTTTTGCATGCTTCCTAAAGCGCCCCAGCTCCGCTATGTTGAGCCAGAGTTCGGTAGGATCGGCACATCGGTGTGCGCGGCGTTGAGGAGCTCTTATGTGCTGACTCAGAATGCAGTACCACAATCGTGTCTTTGATGCAAGCGGAAACGTGTGCTCAAAGCCACTGGCATTTCCTCAAGCTCCGAGCAGCTTCCCGTCCGTCTTCTACTGTGGCTTGAATTCAGGCAACCAGTCACAAGCCACAGTTGGTGATTCCAAGTGGCCCCTGACCCGCATCGCCCGTGAGCCCGACTGCGCAAGTCCCACAGCCAGCGCCACATTTGCCTTTCACCGTTGAGCACGCTGAAACGCCTCGCTTGCTGACGTCTGGTTCCAGCTTTAGCTGCTCGTGAGACAACCACATGTGTCCACGACACACACCTCAACCACCTACGCTCATCCGACAGGCCCAGCATTCTCCTGTGCCCGAAGCTCGTACTCACGACCTTTGAAACCCCCCTTCACTCATCGACACTACTTGATGATACTGGCAGCGCCTGCTGCTTCACCACGATGAGGCCGGGTGGCAAGGCAGCCGCTGTGTGGCGCATCTTGCTGTCCTCATTCTTGTGGACAGCTGTCCTCGCCAAGGATGAGCCATCCATGACGGTCAACACGTTTGAAAATCCGCCTTTGAATATCAACTACTTCGAGGACAGTGACGTTGTCATATTCGAAGACAAGATCGAAGGCAATGTCTACCGATCAGCAGACGCAGGCGTCTCATGGAAACGAGTCGATTCCGTACCGGATGGCAAAGTTCTCGAGCTCATTATGCATCCGTTTGACAAGAAAAGGGCCTATATAATTACCCCTAGCAAAACTCAATTCCGAACCGAAGATCGGGGAGAGACGTGGGCCAGGTTCAACACAAAAGCCCTTCCCAGCAAGTTCCAGCCCGAGGTCATGGTCTTCAACGCCGGCGATCCCGATCGAATCATATTCAACGCGATGGACTGCGACGGCATCTTTTGTGACGAGCAGTCAATGTATACCATCGATGGTTTCAAGAAGACCCAAGCCCTTCGTGTCAGCACGACGGGGTGTTGGTGGGCCAAGTCATCCCCCGAATTTACCACTGGCGAACCCGAAAAGGATAAGTCGCGAGTGCTCTGCATCGTTAGAGATTCGATATCTTTCTTTCGGCAAGAACAGAAACTTGTTGTTTCCGATGATTTCTTTGCCGTTAAAGACAAGCACATCCAAGAATTCGAACCAAACATCGAAACGAACAAAGGCGTCACCGGGTTCCTCAACTTGGCTGTGGTTAAGAAGTACCTACTGGTGGCTACCTCCTCCCCACATAGCGACGAGATGGCCCTCTATGTAAGTGACGACACGAAAAAGTGGCACCGAGCCATGTTCCCCAAGGACGACAGCCATGACCACTCGCATAGAATCAATCAAGGCGCATATACTGTCCTGGAAGGCACAAACTATAGCATTCAGGTTGACGTCATGACTTCTCATCCTTCACGGCCCATGGGTGTCCTATTTACCAGTAATTCGAATGGCACCTACTTCACCGAGAATATCCCATACACCAATCGCAATACCAAAGGCAATGTTGATTTTGAAAAGATCTCTGGTATCCAGGGCATCTTTCTTGTGAACACCGTCAAGAACGGTGCAGAAGTAGCAAAGGAGAAGAAGGACAAGATTATCGTGAGCCATATCACCTTTGACGATGGCCGGACATTTTCGGAAATCAAGTCTGGTAACGACAGACTACATCTGCATTCGGTTACGGAGTTGGACAACATGGGCCGCGTCTTCTCCAGTCCTGCGCCAGGTTTGGTCATGGGAAACGGCAATACGGGTGAATCTCTGGGAAGGTTTGCCGACGCCAATCTGTACGTCTCGGACAGTGCTGGGTCGACATGGAAGAAAGCTCTGGATGGGCCCCACAAGTACGAATTCGGCGACTCGGGTTCAATCTTAATCGCCATCAAGGACTCAGATAAGCCGGACATCAAAGAATTCTCATATTCACTCGACCATGGAGATAATTGGAAGAATGTGCCCTTACCTAAGGATCTCAGTATTAAGCCGGACGTGTTAATTACTACTCAGGATTCCACCAGTCTAAAGTTCCTGCTTTTGGGTGAAAGGGATCGCACCTTTCACATGATTGCTATTGACTTTGAAGGGCTCAAAGAGCGAACTTGTGAGGACGGGGATTTGGAAGACTGGCACGCCAGAGTTGACAAAGACGGCAACCCCAGCTGCATCATGGGCCACAAGCAAACATATTCTCGCCGCAAGAAATCCGCAGACTGCTTCATCAAGAAGCCGTTCGAGGACCCCGTCCCCAAGACAGAGGACTGCGAATGTACCGATGCCGACTTCGAATGCGACTACAATTTCCAGAGGGACAAAGACAATAAGTGTGTACTGGCGGGTCCCATCCCTGTGCCCAGTGAGGAGTGCAAGAACAATCCCGATGGCACGTTTAAGGGTTCATCCGGCTGGAGGCTTATTCCCGGCAACACATGCAAAAGAAAGAGTGGTGAGCAAAAGGACGACAAGGTCGAGCGAAAGTGCTCTGAAGGCGACACAAAGCCCTCACAGCCACCTGCTACTGGGGAGGTTACTTTGAAGCAGAAAATCTTTGACTTTAGCCACGACAGATTTGAGAAGATATATCTCGAGAAGGGTGATGCGAGCACCTCCACAGACGAGACTGTCATTTTGTGGCCAGCATCAGATGGGAACCAAATTTGGCTTTCTCACGATCATGGCAAGGAGTGGAAGCAGATTCTCAAGGGAGAAAATGTTCACGGCATTTTCCCACACCACTACTTTAATGATGTCGTTTACTTTACAACTGACGACAGGAAAATCATTTACACCGTTGACCGTGGACAATCCTTCCACACCTTTAAAGCCCCATCAAAACCAAAGACGGGCGCAATGCCTTTCGCATTCCACCCAGATAAGAAGGACTGGCTACTGTGGATGGGTGAGACATGCGAGAAGGTCGGGGGGAAGGAGTCTTGTTTCCCCGAAGTATCTGTTTCAAGAGATCGTGGGGATAACTGGAAGACGCTGCGACGTTATGCAGAGAAGTGCGAGTTTACTGGTAGCTCTGCATACAAATTCCGCGACGAGAAGCAGATCCTTTGTCTTGTCAACATCGAAGAGCGTATGGATTCCAACCTCACCGTCATTACGAGCGACAACTTTTTCTACGATGAGCCAGTCAAATTCGATGGGCAAGTAATCAACTTTGCAACCATGAGCGAGTTCATACTTCTAGCTAGCAAGGATCCTGAGACTGGCGCCACACGTGCGGTTGCCAGCATGGATGGCAAGAATTTCGAGGTGGCACGTTATCCCCACAACTTTCACGAGGGACATAATGACGATTACACAGTTCTGGACAGCTCTACGCATGCCGTCAATCTCTTTGTTCGTTCAGAGGCTGGCGCTGGCCGCCTGTATGGCTCGATCATTAAGAGCAACTCCAATGGCACATCTTATGTCGTTAGCGCTGCAAATGTCAACAGCGATGCGGACATGTATGTCGACTTTGAAAAGGTTGCCGGGCTGGAAGGGGTAGCTCTGATTAATGTAGTCACCAACGCAGACAACAAGAAGGAGACGACGAATACGTTGCAGACCAAGGTTTCGCACAACGATGGATCACAGTGGGGATACCTGCCGCCTCCCGCAAAGGACGTAGAAGGCAAATCGTACTCTTGCAGCAGTGCCAAGGGAGGCAGCAAGTGCGCCCTTCACTTGCACCACTACACGGAGCGCGACGATAAGCAGCGGACGTTTGCCGCGGACACTGCTGTGGGATTCATTTTTGGCGTTGGCAATGTTGGGTCCAGCCTGGGTGACATCAAGGACGCCGATACCTTCTTGAGTACTGACGGGGGCATCACCTGGACAAACGTAAAGAAGGGACACTGGACTTGGCAGTACGGTGATCAAGGATCTATCATGGTTCTTGTTCAACGAGCCACTCGCAAGAATGATGTCAAAACCAAGATTGTGTCCTACTCCACCGACGAAGGCAAGACCTGGAAAGACATGGAGTTCTTCGAGAGCGAAGTCACCGTTTTGGATATTACGACGCTTAAATCGGGAACCTCTCGAAACTTTCTTTTATGGTGTCGAGACAAAGACAAGATGATTACGGTTAACCTCGATTTCAGCGGCCTCGCAGACAAGCCATGCAAATATAACAAAGATTCAGCAGCTGAGTCGGATTATACATTGTGGGGACCCCAACATCCACTACAAGCCGATAACTGCCTGTTTGGCCATGAAGCCAAGTACCTTCGCAAGAAGACTGATCGCAAATGCTACAACAAGGAGAATCTCAAGCGCTTGGTGGAGTTTAAAAATTGCCCCTGTAAACGAGAGGACTTCGAGTGGTACGTCATCATCCTGCTACGAATTTTGCTTTTGGCCCCTAAAATAACTAACTGAGCTAATCTGTGTCTAGCGCCTACAATTTTGAGTTGGAAGATTCTGATTCTCAGCAGTGCCGACTGGTTAAGGGCTACCAACCTCTGTCGGGCAAGGAGTGGTGCTCCAAAAATCCAAACGCAACCTCATACTTTGACCCAACAGGTTACCGTCGAATCCCTCTCTCCACCTGTGAAGGCGGCAGGGAACTGGACAAGGCATCTGAGGAACATCCGTGTGAAGGCCACGAGGACGAATTTGAGAGGAAGCACCGAACCTCAGGCTTGGCGATATTCTTTGCCGTGGTGATCCCATTCACATTGGCGGGGGCCATTGGCTGGTGGGTTTATCGTAACTGGGACGGCAAATTCGGCCAGATTCGACTAGGCGACACATCTTCCACTTTTGACAGCGACCGGCCATGGGTTAAGTACCCCGTCATTGCGGTATCGGCTGTGGTGGCAGTAGTGGCAACCTTACCTCTTCTCGTCGGTGGTCTCTGGCGATCCGCGACGGGCTCATACAGCCGTATACGTGGCGGTAGCGGACGAGGCTGGTTCTCTAGTGGGAACCGACGGTTTACGACTAGGGACAGCTTCGCACGGGGCCGTGGTGACTATGCCGTTGTCGATGATGACGAAGGGGAGCTGCTAGGGGACGATAGTGATGATGAGGTATGAAACTAGAAAGAGATGGGGAATAGGAAGGGAGGACAGTGAGGAACAGTGTGAGCATCCAGCTGAGAGTGTATTACCAGAAACAGCCAGGAGTGACCGCCACGCGGCGCCCCAGTCCTATTTGGCGTGGCTTCTTTGTATCTTGGACATTATATGCATGATGAACTGACATGCGCGATCTACGTCACGAGCCGCATTCACTTTTAATAGCTGAAACAAAATGTGACGAGGAAAACACCTGATTACGAGGCTAATAGATGTAAACTTCAACTAATGATCCCGACTACAATGTACAAGTTATGTGTAAATTAGTGGCTGTACTAAGTAAGCCCAAAGTCGTGAAACTAATATTCACAGCAAGCAATCAAGGCGTTTATTGCATCAAGAAGGGCAAGTAACTCGCTCGTCAGTTCGAGAGCGGTGGTTGCCTGCCTACGGCACTGTTGGCGACTTGGCAACCCATTTGCCAGCCAGCCGGTCTTTCATCGAGTGTTTATGAATGTTTTTGCTTTTTTTCTATTATTTTTTTTTTTAACGGAAGCCTTTGCTTTGCTGTAGCCTGAGTACATTGCTTGATAAGCAGCTACACAGCAGCCACACACACTGGGACACAGAGTCCAAGGTATCAATTCTTCGAGGAATATGCTAGAGCATCACGTTGAGGCGAGCATTAACAACTCCAAACACCCTATGATATATACAAGATGGGGGAAAGCAAAACCCAACTGGAGTTGAAAGATTGTGGATACTCGAAAAAAGAAAGCCCCAATCCCAGTTCATCCTATTTCTCCCGATATTTGAGATGGCCTCCCGTGTGTCCTTTTTTTTTTCCCGCCGGCTCCTACAAAACAAAAATCAGGTTTGTATGTCATTTTTTTTGTGCTCTTTAGTGGTGGAAGAGACGAATGTTTTGCTGGACAAAAGTGATGCCCAACTTTTCGGCAGTTTCAAAGACAGCATTGTCGTTTTGGCTGCCGCTTGGGGCGGCGATGTAGTTGACTCCTGAGCGGGAGGTGCGGAAGACGTTGTCGATGAAGGGGAACTAATACGTGTTAGTCAATGCTTGAAAAAGAGTTGTAGCAGGGGCGTGAATAGGGGGTTAAGAAGAAGGGGGAAAACGTACGAAAGCGTCACTGGAGACGCAAACATTCTTGAGCTGCTTCATCCAAGCTTCTCTCTCCTCGTCGGTGAAGGCAGGAGGAACCTTTTCGAAAATGGCCTCGAAAGCCTCGCGCTCGGCACCAGACTTGGGGAGCTCGCCACTAACAAGAAGGTCGATGGCGTTGCTCTTGTCGGGCCGCTTAGTGCCCTTCTTCCACTTGATGTTGAGCACACGCTCGTGGAAGCGCATCCACCAGTTGTCGGCCTTGTCGCCGGCAAGACGGGTGCAGTGGATGCGGGACTGCTGGCCCGCGCCGAGGCCAATGACCTGGCCGTTGTAGGCGTAGCAAACGGAGTTGCTCTGTGTGTACTTGAGGGTGATGGTGGCGACGGTCAGGTCGCGGGCCGCGTTTTCGGGGAGAGCGCCGGCATCCTTGGGAGTAATAATAGTGTCGAAAGACTTGGGGGAGATTTCGACGTCGTTTCGGTGCTGCTGGAGGGTGACGCCGTAGACAGTTCGGGTCTCGGTGGGAGAAGGGTTGTAATCGGGGTCGATCTGTAGAACGAGGTACTTGCCGCCCTTCTTCTTCTTGAGGATCTCGAGGGCGGCATCCTCATAGCCGGGGGCGATGACGCCATCGGAGACTTCCTTGGAGATGATGCTGGCGGTGGGGACGTCGACAATGTCACTGAGGGCAATGACGTCGCCAAAGCTGCTCATGCGGTCGGCACCACGGGCGCGAGCGTAAGCCTGGGCGAGAGCAGAGCTCTCAATACCGTCGATGTCGTTGACAAAGTACACCTTGCGCTCCTCTGCGGTCAGGGGAAGACCAATGGCGGCACCGGCGGGGGAGACGTGCTTGAAGCTGGCGGCTGCGGGCTTTCCAAGTGCCTGCTTGAGTTCCTTGACCAGGGGCCAGGCATTCAGAGAATCGAGAAGGTTGATGTAGCCGGGGGAGCCGCAGAGGACTTTGAACGGAAGCTTCTCGGAGACGGTGTAAGCGGCAGCAGGCTTCTGGTGAGGGTTGGCGCCATATCGGAGGGCCATGTATTGCTCGCCCTGGGCGGCGTACTCCTTGCGGAAGAAGCCAGAGATGGCAGTGTCGTAGTCGGCCGTGTGCTCAAAGGCCTTGAGGGCGTATCGGTTTCGGCTCGCTTCGGTGATCTCGCCCTGCTCGAGCTCCTCCAGGAAACCGGCGTAGTCCTGGGGGTCGCTGAGGATGGTGACGCGGCTATGGTTCTTGGCCGCGGCCCGAATGAGGGTCACGCCTCCAATGTCAATCTCCTCGACAGCCTCGGGGATGCTGACGTTGACCTTGGCAACGGTGTCCTTGAAGGGGTACAGGTTGCACACGACATAGTCGACCTTGGCGATGCCCTGCTCAGCCAAGTCCTTCTCGTCCGACTCCAGGTTGCGGGCAAGGATGCCGCCGTGGACAGCGGGGTGCAGAGTCTTGACACGACCACCGAGCATCTCGGGAGCCTTGGTGATGGCGCTGACATCCCTATTTTATTTGAGTCAATGATTAGCTTTTTTTTTTTTTCTGGCGTTTCTTCTTGTTCTAACCGGTGCGATGGCGGCGAGTATGTATACTTGGGCTCTGGGCATGAGGAGGGGAGGGTAGTTCATACTCGACGGCAATGCCGGCCTCGCGGATCATGCGAGAAGTCCCTCCCGAGGCGAGAATTCTGACATTCTGTTGGATGAGGCCCTTGGCCAGATCCAACAACCCCGTCTTGTCATACACGGAGAGAATAGCAATTTTTTGGTTTGCAGACATGGTGAATCACGCCAACCTTTGTGAGAAGGGGGACGAGCGAAAAGAGAGGTAAAGAAGGGATGAGACCAATTGCAATTCTCTTCTTCTCGGGGAATGCAGAGCCAATCAGTGGCGGTCGCAATGAGAAGAGGAAGAAGAAAAAAAGTTTTGGCGGGGTAACCAGCAATTACATTGATTTCGCGATGGCGTAGTTTTGGTGGGTACCATTGAAGGTCTAAGCAGGCAGAAGTGGTGGGGGGTTGTCGGGTGCGCGGGGCAATCCGGGAGCGGGAGTCGTCAAGTTAGGGACCGAGCAAGCGCTGTACGTCTCGTGTGAGAGGCGTCAATAGGTGCCTGGCATGTGGGGCAGCCGCAGCGGTCGAAACTAGCACTTGGCACAATCAAGCATCGAGGCACCTGCTCGAGGTACCCGAGTCTGGTTTGGTGTGCATCAGTATGCTTGTTTCCATCCCACCAGAGAGGTAGGTATTGCTGGTGCGTTGTAGTTGAAGAGCTCCCAGGAGGGCAGAGGGCGCCAAAAATACGCTCCTTTCGTGCAGTTTCAGTATGGACCAGTCTACGGGGAAGGCTTGTGCATTGCCCGCAGTGCGTTGCTGTCACTGGTAGCTCGGCCGCTTGCGTCTGGTCACTGGTGCGATTCTCACCTCCAACTAACATCAACTGGTCCTCTCTAGTTCCCACACCCAAGGGCCAACACAGAGACGACACAACAACACCGGACTCGACACTTGGTCATCGCCTCCCCTCGCGTCAACACCCTCATTCCACGCTCATACCCGACACATGCTCAAGAATTCCGCTACACAGCTAGGTAGCTGGCATCATGTCACCTAAAACGCTAAACATCCTCTGCTTTGGCGACTCCCTCACCTCGGGCTACTACGCCATGGGTCTCGAGTCCCATCCATACTCCATCGCCTTTGCCGCCAAAGTCCAGGAAGCCCTGCCAAACACCAAGCTTCACGTCTACACCAACGGCAAACCAGGCGACGTTGCTTCCTTTCAATCATTTCGACAGAGACTACAAGCAGAGTGTGAGTCCAACCATGTCCCCTCCTTGGCCAAGTCCATTGGGGGAAAACTCGGTCATCCAAAGGCTCGCTCTCTCTGATCTGCCGTGAAGTCTGCATACACAAGCTGAAAGGACCACCCTTCTCATCCATGACACACCAACTCACAGCATCATAGGTGATGAGCGGCATTACGACTGGGTAATAATCCTAGGAGGCACAAAGTACGCCCCTCTCCCTTCTCTTTCAACATGTTGATTGTCGCGGTTTTGCCCGGTCTTACATCTTCGCAGCGACCTGGCTTACATGGTGCCCCCAGAGCAAATGTACGAGTCCTTCCAAACAAACTGGGACATAGCCCTCGCAAAAGGCAGCAATGTCCTTGCATTGACGATCCCCGAATCCCAGACCAAGACTGCGTGGGTAATACAGAATAGATCAGAGATTAACGCCTCGATTCTGGCCCACAAGGAGTTTAATTAGTAAGGATGCCCTTTCTTGATCTTTTGTGGAAACAAGGGAAAAGACCCCTGTGGAAAAACGCATAAGCGTCACGGCACAACGATGGACCAATATGGCAACTAACCTTGTCTAGCCACGCTTTCGATCTCCATGCCAAACTGCCGTACCACTCACTATCAGCAGAAGACAGGCAAAAGTACTGGGACGACGGGCTGCATCTAACAGCCCAAGGCTACGAGTGGATGGGCGGACACATTGCCGATGGCTTCTTGGCGGCACTCTCCTCGGTGAATGGTGTCAAACCAACGCCGGGGGCTGACAGCTCTAAACGGCCTGTCAGCACAAACGACAACACGGTGTTCGAGGAAGAGAGTGGCAACCCTGGGAAACTAAGCGAGGGATACGTGGTGGTGCGAAAGAAGGATTTGTGGTGATGGCCATGATTCAAGAATTATAAACTAGGTTTATAGAAGAAATGGAAATGACAAGTCTAGGATATTTCTTCACCTGGACCCCTTTCCTGTGTTTTGCCTAGAACGCCAAAAAAGCAAAAAAAAAAAAACAAAGTTTGAAAAATGCGGCAAACGCTACTTTCATGTCGTAAGGGATCATCCATCCATTCACACAGCCAGATTTACTGCCACAAAGTCCTGTCCCATAACGTTAGTTCAAATGCCAGCGCCGGTGTACCTTTTTTTGACAAGGAATATATATAAAGGGAAAAAAAAAAAACAGAAAGAAAAAAAATAAAACTCACAGGAAACTCCTTTTGCAGGGAATTGGTCACGTTTTCGACTTCTTCCGCCAGGTTCTCCACATTGGCATCCCATCTGCGCATCTCCTTGCCTGCAATCACCTCTGCCCTGCCACTGCCCTTCTCCCCGGATGCTTCTCCGCCTTCAAACCAAACAGTGCCATCCAGCTGGTCTATCCGCCCGACAAGGCGTCCCTGCTCAATCATGCGGGCCGTCGTCTCTTCGGCCCTGTCCGCGTCCAAGCCCAGCAGCGAGCCCAGGGCCTCGAAGCGGATGTTGTTGAACAGCCTAGATGTGCCGAGCAAGTTGTGCTCGACGACGGCCCTCGCAAGGACAGTCGATCCGTCAGACGTCGTGGCCAGCTGATGGGGCTCCAGCGCCTCGGCGAACTTATCCACCTCTGCCGGCGACAGCAGCCGGTCCAGGAACATCTTCTCCAGGATCCCAAACTCGTCCAGCTGCACGGACCGCTCGTCCTTGTACAGCCTCCCGAGCATGCGGCTTCTCATGGGCCCGGCCGGCGCCAAGATGGCACACTTGATGGCCATGCCGAGGGTGTGCAGGCGCTCCTCCTCCGCGACGGCGGGCGAGAAGCTAATCTCGTGGTATCGCTGCGAGGCCGACAGGAAGTCCCTCTTTGCGTCTTGGATACGCGCCTGCGAGAGTCTAAAGTGCAGGTTCAAGTCTGGGTCGGAAACGGTGTGCATGATGTTCTTGAGTTTGTTGATGTACGTCTCGGCGGCCGTGGGGTCGTCCTCCTCGAGGTAGTTTCGGACAATGCGGACCCATATCTTGGCCTTTTCCTCGTCTGTGACCTTGCGCTGGGAGCTGTCGAGCGGGATCTCGGCCAGGACCTTGGCGGCGTCTGTGAAGTCCTCGTTGGTCTCGTGGGCTGTGGCCACGAGGTCGCAGAGGGTAGCTTGGGCGTCGAAGAAGGACGACGGCTGCGACGAAAGCGCGGAAAGGGTGCGCGTGCCGACTTGGATCCAAATGTCTTTGTTGTTGAGGGCCTTGAGGGTCGCCACGAAGGCGCTGAGGACCGAGCGGGTGGCTACCACGCCGAGGGCCTGGCCGAAGAAGGAGCCGGCGGTGGCATTCAGGTCGTCGATGGCGCTGGTTGGTGAAGAGAGGTTCTTGATGTCGGCGAGGAGAGCTTCGTAAAGGGGACCCTTTTCGCCGGATGCTGACTCGGCTTGGGTTAGAGCCTGGACGACCTTTGTGCTGGGCGCCATGGTGGTGTGGCTGTATACTCGGATTCTCCCCGTTGGAGGCCAAATATGTTGTTGAGGCAAGGTCCGAGAGGTGGGACGACGTGAGAGCTGGGCTGTTTATGATGCTGTTTGCGTGTGGGGACAGCTCTGAAGTCCTCGACATTGAAATTGGCGGGGGCGTCAATCGTCGACTTATGGGCGGGCAGAGGGGAGCTTTGGCGGGGCAGTGACAGCGGTGGGCATCAATTGATGATGGCATTGCTCTCGCTGCAGAGTCTGATGTGTTTTCATGGCCCGTGGGGAATCTTTGGCCCGACGTATCTTTAGAAAACTTGATTTGTAGAGAACTTGGGGCTTCTGACCAAGCTCACCCTAGGCATGGTGCCCATGAACCCAAGGTATCAACTCGCAACAGTCGGATGCGTCCGGTAGCACCACAGCAAGTGCCTTGTACACAGGTGTAATGATTGCAAATCTTAGAATGAGGGACACCATGCTATGCCACAAACGGAACCCTAACAGCAACGACGTAGCTTTCAAAGTATTTGCATAACGCCCCCTCCTCAATCCCTCGCACTCCCATCATGGACTAATCCTCAGCCCAAAAAAAAAAAAAAAAAAAGGCCGTATACAAGTTCAATCTAAAGAATATCCTCTTTGGGGATTATTATATATATACCTCGACTCTATTTATTTGTTATGCCACAGCAACGTCCGCAGTCCATCCCACTCGTCGCAATCCTTGTAGATATACACCATGCTGCTGCGTAGGCTGGACTGCAGGTCCTCGGGATGGGTCTTGAAAAGGTACATGACCATGGCCCAGGAAAGGGAGGCAAAGGCAGGCCAGGCGTAGTAGCTGATTTGAGAATGCAGAGGCTCCTTGGAGACGACGGGGAATCCGTGTCCGGGCTTGACGGCAATGCGTGCCAGCGCCAGCGCGACACGCGCAAAGATGTAGATGACGATTTGCTGGCTGACGGACGAGACCTTGCCGTTGCGCTTTGATCGTTGGCCGAAAACAATGTAGCCGCCCAGAAGACCGGCGATGAATGTGTCGTAGGGGCCTGCGTGGGTTTTCATGTAAGGCTCGAGGTCAGTTTAGAATTCTAGGTAGAGGTTTTATCCCGAGCTCAACAAGATGGCGCGTGGCACATACCCTCCTTGCCGGGCGTTGGACCCCAGTGTTTCAACGCAAGCACAGTCAACTTGTATATCGTTGCAAATCGGGCTAGGTTGGTGGCATGCTTTCTGGTAGCCCTCAACACGAGACCAATCTTTTGTCGGAATCTGTGTTCCCGCGGAAAAAGGTTCAGTCGTGTCAGCATATCAGTTGGCCCAATGTCGCTTTCATTCACGTTGCGCAGGCAGGCAAGTGTACGTACGTTCCCGATCGGAAGAGGAAGATCATCCTAAATGAACGCGCCATGTTAGCTCCCAGCATTCTTGGACTCGTATATACTGTAGGCCGCAGGCACATCAATCCGTCTACTTACACCAGCGCATGTGGAAACCGAACCTTTGTTCCGTAGACGGCGCCATTGCGGGCAGTCTTGACGAGCGACAACAGGTCGTGGTATCTCGGGTCAAGCGCAATGCGCTCCAGGGCAGCCTGCACGGGAGCAAAGCCGCGGCCCCAAACGTCAGCGTACGAATTCTAAAAATTCCTCTTCCAAGGCTCCAAACTGTGCCAACACTGAGCATTGCATCCCCTACCTTGAGAGTTTGGACCGACGTCGCCATCATGTGCCTCGGCAAAGGGTGGGTATGCAGGTATGTAGGTATGTGTGATATAGGAGGGGGCCGCCAAATTCGCAGTCGCAAACAGAGGCAGCGGCCTGGTTTGCAGGCAGAAGACGATACTAAAAAGGGGAGGTTGCTTCGTTCAAATCATCGGTATGCGCATTGACTTGTAGTCGAGGAAACGCGCTTGGGTCGGGGTTGGTAGAAAAGGTTGACAGCTCGAGAGGATGCAAGAGCGCAGACAGACATGTCCGGGGTAATATTGTGAGTTGGAGCCTCGGGATGCGGCTTCGGCTTGTGCTGGCTGCCATGTGCGCCAGTTGGCCGTGACTGGGAGTCTCCGTGCTGTCATGGGGCACTGGGCCCATCTGCAGCCCCGCGACGGGGCAGCACGGCTGGACCAGTTGGCGGGCTTGAGGGGCAGATGACGCACCAAGTATGGCGTCCCCGTCTTCTGTGCTGCCAGGCATCTTTCACATGTCAACTGGTCATTTATCCATACGGGCGGGCAGACCAGACCTGTCAATCATCTTGCAATAAGCTCGCCGAGAGCCATGTAACGCACAATACCCTACTTCGTAATGGAGCATAACTAGATCCACAACGGCAACTTCCCCGGCCCCTTTTGCTCAAATGGCGCATTTCTGGTTCTTCTGGGTAAATAACTACATACGTACACACATGCTTGGCCCAAGAACCGTCAACACCACCGCTCATGTGGTTCTCGCCACTTCACGCCCAAAATATCAAATATCTTCCTCTCGTCCCTGCCCTCAACTAGCTCCCCCTCCGTAACGCGCACCCTACCAGGTCCCCGAATCACATCTTTATACAGGCCCCTCTGATTCAGACGCATCCCCTTCTTGGACGCCAGCAGTCGCATGCTGCGATTAAAAATGTCATTGCCCGTAAAGTAAATCAGCGCGCCGCCCATCTCCGACGCCGGCACGAGCAGGAAATCGATGCGTCTCCAGACCGGCCGGTAGTCCTCGTCATTAATGCCCTTGGTCTTGGGGAGGACACAGCATCCGTGCCATTTGCTCCCATCTCCGCCGGCGTGAAACGACGCCAGACGCGCCGTGAGAAAGCCGTCCTTTTCCAAGACACGAACCAGTTCGTTCAGAAAGGGGCGCAGCTGCGCTACCGAGTCTGTGTCTAATTTTGTCACGATCAAATCAATGTCGTTGGAGCTGGCAGCGCCTCTGCGGTAGCTCCCTCCAATAATCAGCTCGGCCTGCGCATCAATTCTCGCCGCGGCTCTCCTCACAACGGCCCCGAGAGCCTCCACCTCGCGACGCGGAATCCTCGTGTTGAGGTCGTCATAATGCTCGGCGCCAACTCGCTGGCTGGGGTTGAGCTTGGCCTTTGACTTGATGTCCTCGAGTGTTCGATATCCTTGGCAAACCCACTGCTGCGCCTGTTTGTTCCCCACGCCGTATATCTGCAGGAATATCTGGAGGGCGCCATCCGTCGGGTCGTCCTGCGCATATTCCAGTCGTTGGAGTTTGTTTGTCGTGACAATCTCCTCAATCTTCTGCGCGATTCTTCGCCCAATATGGGGCAGCTGGAACGCCTCCTCCTCCGTAGTAATCCTAGTCGCTTGCCTCTTCAAAGTCGCAATCGCCTTCCGGTACCCCGTAGTCCTCCAATGGTCATTGACCCGGTCGTAGTAGCTGGCCATGCTTTGCAGAACCTCAATCGTCCTTGAGTTTGGGTTATTCTGATACGCATCTTGAGCTCCAGCCTGATTGCAAGCAAACCGGTCCTCAAACGGGGTGTGCTTGCCACCAAATCCGCGTTTCTTGCCCGGCCCAGTCGTTCGCTGCTCATCTTCAGACGACACTCGATCCTGTTCCATATGTGAATGAGCCTCGGCCCCGTCCGTCGTGGATCGGCTATCGTAGTCGTCGTCATTCTCAAGCGGAAGACCCTTGAACTCCTGCATCATCAAAATGTACTGCGACAACTCGTCATTCACATTCGAATCTTTTCTCTCGGATTCCTCCCCAGAGACCCGATATTCGTCCTCCCTACTTCCAGAGACAACCTTCTTCTCATCAGCAGCCCCCCCAAAATCCACCAGATTAACACGCTGCGAATCCTCCTCATTAGGCGTCCCCAACGCCGGCACAAAATCAAACCTCCTCGAATTCCTATGCTGAGGCTTGATCTTCAACGACTTGGTCGACTCCTCCGAGCTCGCCACCTCCACTTCCTCTCCCTTCCCCTCATCTTGCTCTGGATGCCCCGGCACCATATACTTTCTCTGCCTCGCATCTACCACCGCCCTGAATCGAATACAATCAATCGGATATTCGTCATTCACCACCTTCACTTTCTGCCCGGAAACAACCTTTTCCACGTCCTCGTACTGAATTCCCTTGTCGACAATAACATGCGTGGCGCTCTCAACATCTGGCGTCCACAAAGCCCCGTACTCACGGGCCTTATTAATACGCAGTCTTCTTACGGGTGCGATGTCATTGTTGGGTATATAGTAGAACAACAGGCCCTTGAAGATTTGCTCCTGCTCGGGGCGGAGATTGATCGAGTCGCGTTTACGTTTCTTGAGGGCCATTGAAGGGGAATCTATTGTCTCAGAGCGTGCAAGTGAAGTCCCGCTGTCCTTCTTCAGACCAGCTGAATCGGGTATTATGGTGCCATCTTGGTCGAGGAGGCTAGTAAGGCGGTTGCGTATGAAATTCTGAGGCGTGGCTTTTATAGTTGTTTCTTTGGATAACTCTGGTCGCTCAACTTTTCCTAGTTGCTTCCGTGGTGATTTATTATTCCCTGCCGCACTGCCTTCATTTACTTGCGGTCTAGGCAGTATGGTCCTCGTGTGGAAGAACCGTGCTCGTACCAAACGGTCTTGTGCTTCAACTGCGTCAAAATCATCTGCCGCTTCTTGAAACGCCTTTAGTCGATCAAAGTAGGCAATCTTCTTGTCAAGGGATGGCTGTTCAAGCGCCATGGCCAGAGGCTGACTCGTGACGAGGTATGTTTGATAACTCCGCGATAATGCTGGTGGATCTGAGGTGCGGTTATCCTGCTTCAACGCGGCGACAACAATACCCTGGCTTGTTGCCTCGGTGGTTTTATGGTATAAGAGGCGAAAAATAATGGCTTCTCACGTTTGCTAGTGACTGCGCTGGTTGTCTGGTCCAATGATCACCCACGACGTCTTGTAGGTGCAGATGAAGCGTTAATGTTGCGGAGGTGGGATTGTACCCAGTCGTCGCAGGCAGCCACTCCAAATAAGCACCAGACAAAAGAGTCTTAGGGACATCGGTCAGCCCACATCGTCAGTCATATAAAAACACAACTTCTTCCTGGTGAAAGTTGTTGATTTTAATACACAATGCTAGCAATACACTGCTGCCATCTTTGCTCCACCATAACTAGAGTTAGATTTTACTACTAAAACATTACAAAGTCCCAAAGTATAATAACGGCGGGAGTAGCCATGGTTGATCCGCTGGCTATGTCATCGCCAGCCCAATAATTCCGCCCGCCCTTGGTATCCACCCGTATTTTTCAGCGCAGTACTATTGTGTATAACCATACTCGAATGTGTATGTGTGTGTGTGTGTGTGTGTGTGTCTAACGATGACCGAACTTTCCGGGCTTTTATGCCTCTAGCCTTCATTATTATTGATGTACGGCCCGTGTCAATTCCCATACCATGATAGAGCCTACCTCCGTATGGATGCAAGCAAAGCAAACACAAAAAACTCCAATCGCTGATGCAGCACAATTAATCCCATTCATGACACGTTTGTTTCAAACACCAAACCATCTTGAGCTTTTTCTCCCCTGGTCTTTGCGACGCCGGGGCGACTGTTCCTTCGTCACCAAATTAAGCCCGTCCGCTCAGAGGTGTCAATTTCGCTTCCTCAAGAATGTTCTGCAGCTTTCGCGTTTCTCGAGCCGCCGTCTCGCGCTCCTCTTGAAGATCCATGACCTGGATCTGCGCTTCGTTCATCTTAGAAACGACTTGCTGGATCTCGCTCTCAGCATCCGCGAGGGCCTTCTCTAGTTCAGTGACCCGAGCTCGAAGAGTATTGATTTCTACTTCTTCCTCAAAGCTCTTGGGAGTAATAGCCTGGCCTGAATGACCGAAAATAATAGGCACTCCAGAGCTTAACAGTGAGCCCTTGCGCGCAGTCACACCCACGCCAGCACCACCATGGATGCGGCGAAGTTGCTCATTATGAGCTTCTCGAAGTTGAGAAAGCTCCTCTTCATGTCGAGACACACGCTCCTCAGAGGCGGTCTGTGCCGTGACAAGCTGCTCCTCGAGAGCGTGGAGGCGTGCCTGAAGCTCGGTAATTCGCTCCGAGTTCAGTTTTCGGTCCGAGTCGCCTCGGGCTACAGTATCGGCAAGACGCTTTCGCAGCTCAGCATTAGTGGCTAGCTGTTGCTGAACCTGAGAAGCAAGCTGCTCAACACGTATAGCCGATTCGCCCAGCTCATCAGATAGAGCCTTCTCCCTGTCAAGGTTCCGAGATTCCCCCTCTGATAGGCCCTCAACCTGGTTCATAAGGCTATTCAAATGCCGTCGGGCGGCATCTCGCTCAGAAACAGCTGCTGAAAGAGATTGCTCGAGGCGCTCGATAGCAAGCTTCGTCTTCTCATCGGACACAGCGTCACCTGTGCTAAGTTCCAGTTTCTTAATACGCTCCAATGACTCAGAGTAGGAGCTTCGCAGGTCCTGGTAAGCCTTCTGGAGAGATTCTGAGGTGACAGGGACACCGGGCGTGCCATTGGGAGCACTTGATCGAGCCAGTGAAGGAGGAATCAGAATGTCCTTTTCCTCAAGCAATGAACGAAGGGAAGCGATCTCTTCCTCGGCTCTATCAAGGTCCATCTTCAGACCACCAAGGCCCTTCTCAACCTGCCACTTTTGCTCCAGTGCATCCTCTGCACGACGTCGCAAGACATTGATTTCGGTGCGCAAGCTAGATATCTCCTTGTCAAATCCAGCTTTTCGTGGTTCTTGCAACAAGCGTTGGCGCTCCGCTTCCAGAATCTTGATTTTCTTGGCATTCTCGCGGTTCTGGAACTCCTGTCTCTCAAGGAGATTCTTCAAGGCACTGTGTAAGGCGTCACGTTGAGCCTCCACGTCTTTTAATCGCTCTGCAAGGGCTTCTCTTGATTCGGAATGAGGCTGCTTAACGCTCTCCGACCTCGACAATCCACCCAAAGCAGGAGGGCCTCTAGCCCTAAAGGAACTAGTTGCTACCGAGTTTGATCTTGCCAAGGCAATGTCGTCGGGGCCAAGTGAGTTGCGTAGTGAGGTGTTTTCTTGCTTTAGAGATTGAAGTTGATGTTGCATCTTTGTTGATTCATATGTGAGGTTAGCATACGAGGCGGCTTCCGCTTCCAAACCTTCCACTCTGGCTCGTAACTGAGGGACAACCTCATCCCGAAGGTTGTCTCTTTCATTACAGGTATCTTGTAATTCACTTTTCAGTCCAGATAGTAGGTCTTCAAAGTTGTTCTTGGACTCCCTTTCTTCAGCAAGGCGTCGCCTTAAATCTTCGCAAGCCTTTTCCAAATCCTTGACACGGTCATTGGCATCCAGATTGTTCATGTGAGCAAGGTCTATTTGTGAAGCCTTCTCAGACAGATCCTTGATCTGCTGGTCCAGGGCTTTTCTCTTTGTCCTTTCATCCTGCAGCTTGTTACTTAATTCCAAACGAATAGCAGCCTTCTCCTGCTCTGATCTTCTTTGGATTTTTTCAATCTCTTCTCTGCTTTGGTCATACTCGCTAAGTTTAGCGGAACTATAGCCCGAATCTGAAAAGTAGTCGCTTGATCGCTTGCTCGGCGCTTGGGGGTTGTTGGCTTGTTCTTGGAGCCTATCAACCAGGTCTTCAAGGTCCATCTCACGCCGAATAGATGCGGCCAGCTCAGAGCTGATGGCTTTTAGCTCGTCCTCCATCTCGTCGATTTCAAGAGACGACGCGGTCGTTCCAGGGGGTGGTGTTGATAAATACGATTCGCAGTAGCTGATTGGGTTCGATGTTGCACCATTGGAATTACTAGATGATGAATTTGATCCGGCGTTCCTCGATTTTTCATGCGGGGCATTTATGTTTTTACCCGGGGACAGTGGCGAAGGAATCGAAGAGAAATCTGTCACCGACGGCGAGGGGTTGGACCAGCCAAACAATGCAGCAAAAGGCGATCCTTGACCCGGCGATCTGGGTAGTGGTTTGTTTAACTGCGGAGATGCAGCTAGCTTGGCCGATTCGGGGGACCCTGGTTGTCGCCGAGCTTCTAATTGAGTTTGGGAAGTTGACGATTCGATAGTATCGAGTTTTAGGTGCGGAGGCGTTGGTTTTGGGGCCAACATGAGAGGACTTGGAGTATGGTCTGCGTGGTCGCCGTAAAGCGATTCAATATCTTCGAGGCTGTGGTCGTCTATTGCGTGCCCAGGGGTTGGATTGCAGGCGTTATCTTCTTCTGGTGGAGACGAATTGGAACCTTGTGAACTTAATTCGTCATACACTGACAGCACGCCTGATGAGTCAGAAGAGTCTCTATGTCGAAGCTCGTCTGCTGGAATGCTGCGCGTCTCGGATGCTCCCGCCTGGGTGGAGGCTAGGATAGTGACTGGAGATCTAGGATTTGAATTCCAGTCAGTACAAGATGCTTTTCATAACAAATCTATATTGGATTCGAGCATGATTGATGACACTCTGCCGTGTCCGTGTATGTCGGCCCAACAGAGGCAGCCGCACGCCTTTGACAAGATAGAAACGAGGCTCATGCCGAGGATGCATAGGTGGCCAGGTCATATAGTCGAAACGAAGTCAAGATGATGCCAGGATTCGATGGGGCAAACGAAAGGTGGACACATAAATATCAGGGAGAAGGGCCCAATGGCAGGGTTGAGGAGGGGTCAAAGGAGGGCGAAACTCACGAGGAAGAGGGCACCGATGTTCGAATTGACTGCGGATAGTCGTAAAACGTCGGACTATCGACAGACGGTGGTCTGGCAAACCTCTGGCCCGGCTTGGGGAGAAGGTCAGGGTTCAAGGGAGCAGGAACTGCCGCGATGACTGAATCGCGCAAAGATAATGATGCGGCCAAGGACGACGCCGATGAGGACAACGGCTTCCGCCTGATTGGGGTTCTGAGAGGAGGAGGGGGGAAGTGAGCAATGGTTGATTGAAACGTAGTTCCGGCAACAGGAGTCGTGATGGAAGCCAAGGAGCTGAGACTGCTGGCGACGCTATGCCCTATGGGTAGACAAGGAGAAGGAGGAGTGTCAAGGTCAGAAAGCGTTTGATGGCAGATCTTGGCCAACGAGTCGTCTTGTTGCTCCTGCGGCGGCTGTTGCTGGTGGTGGCGGCTTGGTGAGGAGGAGAGCTCGTGGTGTCGGAGAGTGTCAGAAGACTTCGAGGCAGATGTTGTATCAGAAGTTGACACGATCGATGACGGGCCTGGCTCCAGGTCCGCCAACGCATGACCATGAAGCGAAGCTAATTGTGCCATTTTAGGACTCGCGTATGTGACCAGACCGAGCAGTAATGTCTTATCACCGGGTCATTAAATTGACCATGGAAAAAAAAGGATGTAGCAGTATCGGCAAATTGGACGAGAAAGGGAGAGAAAGAGGCACGGCCCAGGGCGGCGGATATTGGTAACCATCAACGGTGACAGGGCGAACTAGCCATCAGACGTTGTTGACTGGGGGCGCAAAGAACAGGAAAAGATGGCGCGAGGAAGAAAGGCAAGGATGGCCGAGTGTTAGTCGCAGGGTCACTCCATGTCGAGGCGCAGTGGAGAGCGCGCGTGGATCCCAAAGAGGTTTAGCGGCAGGCACCCGGCCGGGAGGGTGGCATCGTCAACGACTGGTTCCTGGCTTCGCTGACCGGAAAGGGGTCGAGACTAATTTGCACTGGGCCAGGGTCTATTGTCAAGCGGCTCTTGGGTTGTGCAAACCAATCGATAACACCTCAACGCATTCAATCGTCCATATGATTGCCCGGTCTGCAGGCCATGGCGCGAACAAGATGATGGCAATGGCCTGGTGGACGGGTAGGCACGGCAGACCAAGGAACGCGCCCACGCTCGTCCCGCGGACCTTTCTATCTATCCCCTCGCTTCTTCCTCCTCGGTTTGTCGCCCTTCTACCGAGTACGGAGTACCATGCAAGCAATTACGGAGTACGGAGAGCACAATATCGCCAGTCTCGCACTAACTATTATTGGACCCTCCTCCAGATGACTGTTGGTGGATCTCTCAAGGACACACGCATCGCGGCAACGGGGGAAGGGTTGTGGGCGAGAGCGTGTCCCCCCGGACGAACCTCCGCCCTTCAAGCAACCACTTGAACCAAGCCAGCCACATCCCAGACTACGTGTGTGTCACCCTAGCCAAAGAGTTTGACCGACTGTCAGTTCGAACGAACCAGTTGACGCCCACCGCATCCCAACGTCCCCACCATGCTATGTGGTTCTGGATCTTGTTCCTTGGCTTGGTTCCTGGCCAGGCATCGGGGGACGGGCCATGGAACGACGGATAGTCTTCATTTCGACGGGAAGAATGTGTTCCTGCGCTGGTGCTAGGGACCGACCGACGGAGCCTGCACCCGGTTGCCAACAGGACGGTCACAATTATATGCTCTTTGTCGACTGGGCTTGACGCTGGTAACGACGGTTCACATGCACACTGCGTGGCGGCAGCAGCGCTAGTTTGGGCGTGGCGTTCCTAGACCTCCAGGGTGCCTCAGTCGAGATGCTGCTTGATTGCCGCCCGCAAATCCTCTGCCAATCGCCTGGTACGACTGAGCGGCAGTTGCTCTGCAGGTATTAATATGACGACTGGCACCGAGTATCGACCCCTGTCTAGTACTTCCTCCCGTAAGCAAGTACAATCTCCAAACGATTGCTGCGACAGTTGTTTTCCGTCGTAACCCGATCTGGCGGCCAGAAACCAAACGAAACAGGAACAAATACAGAAGACGGCCTTCGCCGACGTTGACGAGCCATTTGAAGAAGAACAAAACAGGATGAAACCGTAAATGGTTCTCACATTGTTTCAAGCTGTCAGTGACAGAGCCTAGCGCCGGCAGTATGCTCGACGTAGGAGGTGTAGTACTTTCGGTGGCTTCCACCGCATCACCCGCGTACAGGGTATTAGCGTAGTACTGGATTTTTCCAAGACAAGTTCATCTCATACACGCATATGGAGTATTCCGTATATTGCGTGTACTAGATTCACAATAGGGAGTACTAGTTTTGGGTACCCGGCTCTGCCGTATTGCAACTGGCTTAGAAGCGCACGCATCAGAGCACCAATCCTGTCCTGGTCTTATTTCAGGCTGCACTTCACCGCAGTACGTAGTAGTTATCCCCGACTGGTTTGAAATGTCAACCAGGGACACTTGTCAACTACCTACCTAATAGGTACATTATAAGCTAGGGTATGTACACATGCCGAGGATCGCATCAGGTCAACAGGCATCGGACTAATGGAGTAACCACTCCACAAACCAACATGAGACACCCTGACTGGTTGGCTGGCGATGTACGGAGGTCGGAGGACCAAGATGAATTTGGCAAAAGGAACAAGGGACACAGAAGAATCGCCGCATCCAGACTTGGGGCAGACGACCGGCAAGGTACGAAGTACATCGAACGAGAGTGCGTAAGCGCCTGCAACGTGGTGAATGGATTGGCCAGGCTGAGCTTTTTAAATATTTGCTTCAACGCAATCAATTCATAGCCCGTCAGCCAAGCGCCGTCACCACCAAGCCTTTGTGCCCCCTGCACCCTTACATCGACAATGGCGGCTTCATTGGGAGAGACGAACCCGTGGCGTTTGGTGGTCGTGGAGGTCACGAGATGCTACCATGATGTGTTTTTGTTTCGCAAACCACGTGTGCGATGATATGTGTCTACATGTTTACTTTCACGCGTATCGGCGCCGCTGGGCAGAGAAACTGGGTTTCCATCAAGATGGCATCGTCAACCAGTCGCAATCAACCTAACAGATGCTTCAGAAACCATCAGGGTCATTAATCACACAGAGTGAATCATACAGAGAGTACGGAGTACCAGGCCCCAAAGACTGTTGCGTCCTCGCCAAGAGCAGGAAATCTTTTCCAAAACCTCCAAAAACATCCCGGTGCCCATGTGTCCTACGACTGCTTGCACCAACCACGTCCTCCCGGCCCCATGCCATCTTGCTTGCTTCTTCCAATGGCACCATGTCCAATTGACTCTTGACATCTTCTTGCACGGGCACCTTGTCTACTAACGCGGCTACCTGCGTCGGGAACCACACTTGTCTCGGAACGCCTGACGCAAGAGTACTACAAGGGATAAAAAAAAAAGAGGAAGAGAAAATAAAGCCAGAGGGCAAAATCTCGTGTCTCCTTTCCCGGTAGCCATTTTTAGTGATGCCCTCCATTTCGCTATTCTTCCTCCCCCGGACAGAAGATTCTGTACTACTTCTGAATTAGAAGACCCACGGCCCACCGCGTAATTTTAGATGTCTGATAGTCCGCTCCTAAAGTGCTTTTGGAGTAATACTCGTCATGACTTCAACTGTTGGCCCAAACACAGCCTTGACTGAAATTAGCTGGCGGGGGTGTGTGTTTTACTGGGGCTTGCTGTCTGGTCTGTGTGAATGTCTCTTGATGTCTCCTTTTGGTAGAGATGTGATGCTCGCGCGATGAGTTTTCATTATTGTTGAATAGTCAGTGCTAGGCTAAGTAAGAGGTGTAGGCTCGATCCATCATCGTGCTTCTCTCCCTCAACGCACTCCGTGCTCGTGGTGCCATTACGTCTCACAGAGCTGTCTCTGATGCCGTGTAGTGCGCAATCGAGTGCGGTGCCTTGGGATGCGTTTGCTCACCCATGTTTGACCACCGCGCACCGTATTGCCGGTTCTTTGGCAAAACAACGTTTCCTGACCTCTCTACTTTAGGCATTGAGTAACGCAAGACTCATGTGTAATAAATATCTTGTCCTGTTCAAACACACGAGAATCCATCTACCCTCTGCGTGCATGTCGTAATATTTCTTTCAATAAAAAGTCGGCCAACGCAGCATTACAAGACTAGTTTTCCCTTAGGAAGTAATGCCCAATAACCGCTGCAAGAACATTTGCGCTGTTGTGCAAGCACAAAGGTGAAGCCAGGGCGACTGCCAAACACGTCTTCCATCACCGCTGTGCATCTTGTGCATCTCCTCCATCTGCTTGTTCCACGGCCGCCTCGTAGCTCTGTCCTCTTGAAGATGTCCACATGCACACCCTTGGCCTTTCTAGCAGCCAGACTACTCCTGTCATCTTGTACTTCCAAGAGTTCAAAGTCTGCAAAAAACAACTTGGCCGGATCGGTGAGCTTGCGGAACGCAGGGAGATCCTTGGCAAAGAACTTGCTCAACACCGGTAGGAAATACGAGCCGAGAGACCCACTTAGCAACATCGCCATCTCGAAATGAGCTTGAGTGTTCTTGATAGCAATATCCAACTGTTTCCCTTGCGGCGGATTGGACCGGTTCTTAGCTATCCCGGGTATGTATGCTGCGTATGTTTGTCGGATATCCGACGCCAGTATATTGAGCAACTTCTCAAATTCGGTTACTTTAATCAGGCTCGTGGATGTCACCTGCTGCATTTTTTGGTATGCTTGCTGCAGTTGAGGATTGGGTGGTTTAGCACCGCCTTGTTGATCTCCTGATGCCTGTCGTTTATAGAAGTCGATGGCTTTGTTGCTAATGTTCTCTAGGAGGGAAATTCTGCGGCATACAGCCGACACGAAGCTGCGACTTGAAGACGAGAGCAACAAATGGAGTGAGACGTCGTTCCTGTCGTGTAGATATTGGTTCAACTCCCCAAATCGTTGTGGATTTAGTCGTTGTATAAAGTTGTCATCATTCATCAACTCAAATAGACAGTCAACCAACCAGCACAGCAGATCGACAGACCACTTTGCGCAGCCTGCGAGAGCTTCCACAACCTCTATAAACCTAGCATCAGTATGGGTCCATCAACGTAGCCTCTGCAGGGGGATTAATCTCACCGTGTTCATCCAAAGGACTCATCTTCTCTCTGATGTTCATTGGCGTGTTGCTCGCAAGAGTGATGAGAATCACAACATTTCGCATATTCAGACTGATGATGGCAAATTTGCTCTGAAATGATCGCCTTCGAGTTTCCCCTTGAAACCCCAAGCTACTCATTATGCTGAGGCAAGACTGCAGCGGAGAGTTCCTCATAAGCGAGTCATGGTGCGTCTCCTCAGAATAATCGACTTGAATCTTCAGAATTCGAATGATTTCACTGATCCAGTCAGGTAAAAATCCTGCCTGGCGTCAATTTCGTGGATTTAACTAGCCCGTTTCTCAATGACAAATGCTTACTCTTTCTTATTGCCAGAGGTTGGACAACAGCTAAAAGATCATCACAATTGCTCTGATGCCACAGACAAGAAGCGGCTGTGATGGATAATGCTGCAATGGTAGCAGGATAATGGGCTAAGCCAGGTTAGGCCAACTTCCGTACGCAATAAGCAGAATTATAACTTACGATCTTGCGGAGAGTTGCCAATATCACTTGATGGATACTCAAGTTTGTTCCACCGGACCTTTCCATCGTCTCCAATCTGTATCATGGAACAGCATGTTGGGGAGAAGGCGACTTGATGGCCTGTCTGTTGTTAACCGTATTCCTCAAGATATGCGAACAAACGTATGCATGGCAAGACTTACAGGGTCCGTCATCGGAAAAGCCCCATCCGACCTGTCGCAAGGTCATGACTTTGGTGAGGTCTTCATTCACATACATTTCTTCGAACGTAAAGCGATCTCGATACTCGATCGACCCATCTGACATTGTCAAAATAAGGACTTTTCTGTATTGGATATCCTGAATTCCAATGACGACCTTGTTGATCACGATGGGTTCCAGTTTTTTAAGCTTTATGGTGCTTGGCAGATCCGACGAAACACTGTTTCTCCGATTTCCCAGCTGTTCGAAGGCAGAATCAAGACTTTGCTTGGATTCGATTGCTTCCCACCGATCCAAGACGCTCTGGGCTGATTGGAAGGATCCATCACCCACATCCCTCGACCTCACAGTCATGATCAATGGCGGAACTGTGCTGGAGCCAGTGTTGTCCATAACGGCCGGCAAGACATGTAAAAACGAGAGTTCAGCCATCGAAGCGTCATAATTTGTTTCGTTGGGGCCAGCACATAACCAGCTGGCCGATGCAACATGTGTTTCCACAAGAGCGGGATTTAACCTTGCATTCTGGGGCATGGTAGTTTTCTCTGAAGAGGAACCAGGTCCCGCCCACTGTATTTCGATTTTAAGGAGCCTCAATTGTCGAGACGAGGTTGCAACAGCAGCAAGCAGGTGTTCTGTATTGCAGTCAGCCATGCTGATGTAGGGATTTTGTGGTGGTTTAAAAAAGATAGAGCCCACTCACTTTTATCGGAAGCAAAAGCTGCATGCGTGACAAGCTCATCTGATGTGTTTATGCTCTCGAGCTCCATTGTTGTCTCCTCCATGCGGCCGTTGTTCTGTGACCAGTACATCTTCAACATACCCCCAGAGCTCACACAGAAAAGAGCGCTCTTGGCCGAATGCGGGTGATTTGGCCCTATAGCATGTACGAAGGAGCTTTCATATTGATACCCGTTTCCATTCTTATTTGCCGGCCCGTACATGATGTTGAACGGTTTCTTGGACGAGTCAGAAGTTTTCGACAACACGATTTTCAGCATATACTAAATGAATAGGGGAGAAAACTTACCTGCTGATTAGTTGGGGCCACGGGAAGCCAGTAACAGCCAGCGATTCCATGGAGGTCGTCAATCGTGTCCGTCTCCCATTTTCTGGTTATGAAGGGGTGGTTCAACGAAATAGCAAAGCTCACCAAAGCAACTCTTCCAGCTGCATCTATTATAGCCAGATCCGGAGTGTTTGTCGTGCCCCATTCCAAGTGCACCAGGGGAATTGCTGGCGTTCCCTTGACAAGGTCACAAGTGGTTGGCTCACTGAGCTCCCAAGCCCCGGTGTCCGGATGGCATCTTAAGAACCGAAGCTCAAGAGTCAGACCATCGGGAGTCAATGAAGCTATTGTGCCAGACTTGGACCATGCGACAGCTCTGCCCAAAAGTTAGTATGATGATTTCGTGATAGCCTACGCGTGAGTAAAACTTCATACTGGCAGGCGCCTCGGTTCCTAAGCTCATCTAGCCGTTGCTGCAATTGTTTGCCCTGGGATCTGACAGGAATCGAGAGAGGGACATCGTCGCCAAACAAGTCATCGACATTGTCGAGGTCTACTTGCATGGAATTATCCAGTATGAGAGGCATCTTCTCGGCTGTCATCTGAGCGGGTTTATCCACGGGCACTATGGGTATCTAAAGGTCAATCAGGTTGGAGGCAAATAGCGTATCGATGGAAAGCGCCAAAGAAACAAAGACACAAAAAAGAAAAACAAAGGGCATTAGAAAGATTTTGGCGCTAGCAACTCAGCGATGCAGCCTGCGCATGGAAAGGATGTGTCTAGGCAGCGGACAGAAACAAAATGGTCGATGATTGGCAGAGGAGATCTTCCTTCCAATTGACGCGCATGAGGCAGTAACTAACTGGGGAGCTTGCTGCACGGCCTAGCTCACAATGTGACTGCGCCCACGGCAAAATATCGGCATTCAAGGCAATCAATCGGGTTTAATCTGTGTCACTTACTCCGTACACACGCAGCAACTGCCGGTCACGCACATGTCAAACGTGCTTTGGCTTCTTGAAATATACGGGTACATATTCGTGTATTCTACGGTGCATCTTTCATATATTTCTTCTACCGCGATTTCATATCATGACACCTGGCAGAGACCACGAAACAGCACACGCAATCGACTTCGTCCGCATTGCAAGTCTGTTACAAGTTGTATCGAAAGGACTTATTCTCACGGTCTGTCAAATCTTGTAAACCATGAGTTATTTCTGGTGGACCATAGTTGCGCTCTCATTCTTGGTTCTCTCTCGCCAGCGCGAACCGCAGACCCATGGCCACAATGAAACACGCAGCAAAACAGACCATGACATCAACAAAACTTTGATCGTATCGTGGAGCCCATTTCCTGGACCTCATGTCAGGGAAACCCATTCGGACAGGTTCCGAGTTATTAATTTCGACAATCACTTACGCATCAAAAATTAAGGGGATGATGATATTGCTCAGGGAGAAGCCAATAAAGGTTCCTGCGGCATATACAGCTTTTTTGGTGTGTCCAGCCACATTTGATGTGCCCAGACCGATGCACTGAACCCATGCGGAGGAGAAAAAAATTGATCAAGTAGAAGCCGGCAATACGACCACCCCGATTAGTATCAGGCAGTTGCCACCTATCCGTTGTCGACGCGTGATCAGTCAGTCACAAGCGTGCCAAGGAGAACCATAACTGAAGTTTTATCCACAGTAGGCCACACCCAATTATCACGGGGAAACAGGACGCGGCGATGATGAAGAACCGGGAATTGGGTACTGTTCGACCCAAGTATCCTGATCCGAGGATACAAATGAAGGCCAAAGCACCAATCGGCAGATTCAACAGCAGAGATGTGAAGACGTCGAATCCATGCCGTTGAAAATTATGGAGCCAAAAGCAGTAACGACACCCGAGCCCGTGCAAGATACCGTGGACAGGGTTATTATGCCCCAGAGATAATCTGTTAGCGCCTCTCTTAGCTGGTAAGATTTGAAAAGATTGTTCTCAGCTCCGGCGTTGTTGGCCCGCACCCGTTCCTCCAACAATTTTCGCTCCTCCTCTTTGAAGCCCTTGGCATTGTGAGGCGTATTTGGAAATACCCACCAAAGTACAACGCCCCAAAGAAAGGTAATCGCACCAGCAATGAGATACATGTACTGCCATGGATGGGGTGAGCCTCCTGATATGTGGCCCAGGCCGTAGTTGATGAGGGGCGATACTAGGAGCGAGCCACCGCTGGACGAATACCAGTAGCTGGACCGCAATACTTGCTCCGAGTGGGTGTACCAGAGGCTAACGACAAGCATAAAAATGGGAGAGACACCGGACTCGATGAGTCCCAAGAAGAAGCAGTTGACCAGCAGACCTTGATACGACCTACAGGCTGGCGTGGTGAGAACTACCACTGCCCAGACAAGGCAAATACCGGTACACACCAGACGAGGTGGATACTTTTGGGCCAGAAAGGAGAGAGGATAAGTTCCAGCAATGTATCCGAAGTAAAAGATCAGAGTGGCCCATGAGTACTTGAGGCCAAAGATGGCGGCCTGGCTAAGAATGGCCTTGTCATAGTACTGAAGCGCATATGTAGCGCAGAGCTGAACATGCTGTTAGAAGATGCAGTACACTAGTTGACTTCTCTTCCGGAATGAAGGTAGAGCTAGAATTTACGAGATGAGGATGCATACAACAGGCATTAGCTTCCAGTCAATCCTACGGAGAGGTCGTCGGTTGGTCCTGTCGTCAATCTCGGCAAAAGACGGTGCTTCTGAGGGCTACTTTTCTTTTGCCTTGACACTATCCACGCCATGGTCAGGGTTTTGACCAACTGTTGAGCTGTACTTTGGTCCCTGTGACATGATGGCAATGCAGTGGTGACGAGACGGGGGACGAATGGAATGGAAAATGTCTGGTAGTTTCGGCAACGCGTCCTAAGCAGGTGCGGACAGCACCACTTGTAAATGGCTCAATGTCGAAGTTTTGTGTACTTTTTAAAATAAAATAATAAAAAAAGACTTCCCATGGCAACCAAAACTACCACAGATTCCTCCCGCAATACACCATCGGCAATGACTGTTTGAACGACATCGGCGGAGTAGAGACCAGAAGCTACATATGAATGATACGCACGGCTCACGGCGGAGCGTCTTCAAAATAAACTTATCCTTGGCGCGACCCGCACATTTCCGACGCTATTCCGATTGGCATGTATCCGACCCCTGCGCCTTCCCCGGCCCGTTCGGTCAGCCATTTCCGAGGGCTGCTTACTGGTTGCTGAAAGCTGGGGATGATGGACCTCTAACGGAACTGCCGCCAGTTGACCCGTCCAACGGCAGTGAATCGCGTGGGGGGGGGTCCTCTCCGTCGTCAATTTGCTATTTGGATTCTCGCTTCGCCCTTCTCCTCCCTCAGTTCTCGGCTGCCGAGCCACGTGGCAAAACTATTGAGACTCATTCGCAAGCTTCAATATAGTACTCTTTGAGCATAGGTAATATATTCGGGTAAGTCTTTATGCTCCGAGAGAGCTATGAAGCTAGCCACGCGATTGCTTAGAGCGAGGACGCCGTCCAGCCTCAGGGTAGCTCGGCAACTTCGACCAATTCGTCCTGCTTCCACCTCTTCGGCCGCCCGAAATGGAAGCTCCAAGACCCTTTTGTATCTCGCAGCTGGCCTGCTAGTTGGCGGTGCTGCTGGTTCTTCCTTTTTAGGACCTCGTTCTGAGGGAGTGTTATCGCGTGTCACTCCTCGATGGCGGGATGTACCTGGAGGCCGTGGCGCACTTCCTCGTAAATACGCCGACAAGAAAACCATGCTGAAGGTACGCCTGGAAACGAAGCATTTCGGAAATCGAATGTTAATTTTTTATTTTCTTCACGTAGGCGGTTGACGAAATACGATCAATACTAGGCGAGGATGCAGTCAGTGTAGAAGAATTCGACCTGGAAGAGCACGGCTACTCCGAATGGTCTACATCCAACACAGACGTTCGACCAGTGGCTATTGTCCGACCCCAGTCAACAGAGCAGGTATCGACCATCGCTAGAGTATGTACCAAGTACAAGGTGCCAATGGTTCCTTATGGCGCAGGGTCAAGCGTCGAAGGTAACTTTAGCTCCCCATACTCTGGCATATGCATTGATCTATCTACCATGGATAAGATTGTAGCCTTACACCCCGAAGACATGGACGTGGTGGTTCAACCAGGTGTAAACTGGACCAATCTTAACAATGACCTCAAGAACTCTGGATTGTTCCTCCCCCCAGATCCCAGCCCGACAGCCCTAGTCGGCGGAATGGTCTCGACAAACTGCAGCGGCACCAATGCCACGAGATATGGCACCATGAAGGACTATGTAGTCAACCTGACGGTGGTTCTCGCCGATGGATCCGTCATCAAGACCCGTAACAGACCCCGAAAGACCTCTGCCGGCTACAATTTGAACGGCCTCTTTGCCGGCTCCGAAGGGACTTTGGGCATCATCACTGAGATTACGCTGAAACTAGCGACTGTGCCATCTAGACACAGCGTTGCAACTGTCACGTTCCAGAATATCAGACAAGCTGCAACTGCTGCGGCTTCAATCGTTCGGTCCGGCATACCTGTGGCCGCCGTTGAGCTCATGGATGACGTACAAATGCAAATAATTAACAAAAACGGAGGTGCTGGGGGGAGAATGTGGAAAGAACTACCAACTTTATTCATCAAGTAAGATAAAAAAACAAAGATGCTTCCATTTCCAGTGTCTACAAAAGACTTGAATATTCTGGACTTATTCGGACAGATTCTCAGGAACAGATGCCACAGTAAAGGACAATATAAAATCCGCCCAGGCGGTTGCCAAATCCTTTGACTGTAAATCATTCGAATTTGCCAGTAGCCCCGAACAAATGGAGGCTCTGTGGTCTGCAAGGAAACAAGTACTGTGGGCTTCTTTAGCGGTGAAGCCCGAGGGCACCGAAGTTTGGTCTACGGACGTAGCCGTTCCACTGTCGCGAATGGCTGACTTGATCGGCAAGTGTCTTCCATTTACCTGGGACGGGATCGTGCTAATTAAGAGTAGAATTGTCTCAGGAGAGGGCAAGAAAGCTTGGACTGTTTAACAGTATCATAGGGCACGTCGGCGATGGAAATTTCCATCAGATGATCATGTATAACCCGAATATTCCCGAACAGAAGAAGGCAGTTACAGAATGTGTCAACTTGATGGTGGAGGATGCTATCGCAATGGAAGGAACGGTTTCAGTGAGTCCTATCTGGTCCAAGATGTATCAAAATGTTGTTGTCTAATTGGCCTGAAGGGGGAGCACGGCATCGGACTCGGAAAGAAGGTATGTGATGAAATCCCCGAGATTGGTGCAAGTGTATGACATTGTCTACTAACAATTTCACTAGCATTGCTTGGCAAAGGAGCTTGACGGTGCAACGCTGGGAGTCATGAAAGCTTTGAAGGACTCTCTTGATCCCCAGTGAGTATTGCCATTGTTCGAATGTGAACCGTGACTGATAAGATATAGCTGGCTGCTTAACCCAGGGAAGGTCTTTGATGAGTAGATATTAGCCATGAGTTCGTGACGTAAGATTAAAATAGTACATATTTGATGAATTAAAAGACGTCTCAAGTGCCAGTACCAGTAAAGCAGCTAACGGTGACGTCACACCGGCCAAGACGGACCCGATGGACTGATGAGGTTGATGTCGAGTGATGATGACCCAAAGTTGGAGCTGCTTGAGTAACAGGCTGCTTGAGCTGTTACTCAGGCATGGTTACAACAGCAACATGGTAGAGTCGAAGTAAGAGGAGCTCCTCTGAAGCTGATTGTGTCGTAGTGACCCCCGATGCTTGAGCCGAGACTGCAAATCCCGCCGTCATACAACATTGTGGGGTCTGATGCCTTGATTATGCGACCGTCGTCATCATGTGTTGACATCACTTCATGCCTCATTCGGAAACCAAATTATATAAAAGTACAGGACGTCCAATGTCGTTACCTCGATGAAGGATTTTGCAAACCATGAGACGTCGAGATGCATCCTCCCAAGCAGGCCTGTCATTCATGCCTTTGAACCAACCCTCCTCACCACCCGAGTCCTGACACCCCCGCGCGTTCCTCTCCTGCGAGCGATGTCGAAAGCGCAAATCCCAATGCGAGCCATTCAATGGTGTTAACCAGCCGTGCAAGCGGTGCGCGCTCGAGAGACGACCCTGTGAATTCAGACAGAGCGGCTGTTTTGACCACGACGCTCCCAGTTCCGCAAGCCTGCTCTCTGAATCTGACAAACGCAGACAAGAATGGAGAGTTCTGGTGTGTGTCTTCATATATCTCACAGATGAAAGTCTAGCGACGCGGCTCGAGGCCGAGCCGCTTCTCCCAGAAAAGTCAAGACAGCTTGTGCGAGACAGATTGTTTGCGTCGTTTGTGAGCGCCATGCCTTACAGCGTGCTGTGGGAGAGTTTCTTCGAGCTTTCAATACAAGCTAAGGGCCGGGATTCGCTGCATTCCCTCAGGAAATTCGGTCTAGGGATCCAAGTTCAAAGCATGGTGCTCGAGATGGAGTATCTGAGCAGGGCGTCGGATCGATGGCATCGTCAGAACCAGCACCAACAGGATGGTAAAGAAGCCCTACATGACACAAGCTAACAAAAGGCTACAGAGCTAATATTCCTTGTAAAAGACAGCAACGTATTAGTAAAGGAATGTCTTGACATCGAGTACCATTACGTCGTCATGTAGAGCCTCGGTCCCGCATCATAGGCATTGCTATCGATCAGGTTAAGGAGCCAGGACAAATCCATCTCAAATGCGGATGTAGAAATATTGACACGCCTTGCTTCGAAAGCCAACAAAGCTAGCCGACACCTGCTGAATATTGTCGTCGATACCCTTGGCCCCTTGAGACTGTTGCCTTATATTCCCGTGCGATTCTGGTTGTTTATTGTTGCTTCCAGCCTCCACCTGCTCAAGGCAAGAAAAAGAGTTCGAGATATCTGTCGAATTAAGCACACCCAACGGCTAGCTCATCTCGCCATGTGCACAAACATGCTCATACTTGCTTGAAGGAAATCTTGACGACGAATGAAGAAGTGGTCGAGGGACATCCCAACATCCGTCTGCTCCGTGCCGTTATATCCACCATTCACACGTCCTCACCTGATGATATACACATGGCTGTTAGATACGCTAGGTTTCTAGGAACAGTCCTGCGTTCTTCTTTGCAAGCTTCAACTATTACCGCCACGTGAACGTTGGTATCTGCGGAGCGGATTTCGACCGCCGGGACCGCCACCATCAACACAACAAAGACCGGAAGAATTGGAGTCTTGAATTCCGAGACGGTATCAAGGTCGATACTTGATCCGGAAGACTTCGACTTTGGCTACGACTCACCGATGCGGGGTGTTGGGACTTCCCACCTAATTTTGAACCGATATCTGACGGTGTCGCGTGGTGGGACGGTTCCTTGGGTCGACATAGGGCATTGCGCTTCTCGTAATAAAAACATAAAAAGTTAAAAATAACAAAAATATATGGCTCGGACATTAGCGTATCTCCCGACAAGACTTGGCATGTCTCCGATGCAGTGCTCTCTCAGTCTGCATCCTCTAATACTTACGCGAATGCAGAGACCTCCCTGGGAGGTACAATAATTGCAGTTATCCTTGACTCCCTCAGTGGAGCGGATGCAACGCAACTCGATCTCGGTCGGAGGAGTGAACTCGGGATCGGAGTCGATCTTGGGCTGATACTCACCCAAGTACTGGGTCACGCATCGGTGACACCACTGGCTGTCGCCACGCACATTGGAATCTTCCCACTGAGCCTTGGCTCGGGCCCGAATCTCGGACGTCGCGCCACCACTCTTACGAGGCGAGAGGGACTCACCCCTCGCCATCTGGACTGCCTGGGCACGAGTGATGACGTTGGTAGGTGTGAACTCGAGCTGGCGCGAAGCTTTTCGAGTAGAAACCTGTTCCGATTTAGTATCGGACACTTCAATTATATCCCCCTCCAAAGCCTTGCGTTTGGTCGGAGTCTTGAAAGGGTTTTGGGTCGGAGTCTAGCCCAAAGGGACCGCAGGCACGGTAGTTAAAAGCTTTAAGGATGGCACGGCATCCATGACAATCACCACGTTCTCTATAGAATCACGTCAGAATCAGAAACCCCAAGAGGACAGGGACCGTCCACTTACCCCATTCGATGGGACCATTTGGAAAGGTGATCCGATACTGGGTGTGGAGAAATTGGCCGGTCGGACTCTTTGTTGGCGGCCTATGAACACGGTAATGACAGGAACCAAACGCTTCATGTACAAGCTTCTTCGTCGTTGCAGAGCAAGTAGTACATGGGGTTGTACGGAGTAGGGAGTACCAAGATATCTGCCAAGACATGATGACCCCTCTGCTCTTCGAAGTCAACTGCATCTGTGTAAGGTGTCCCCGGATATCTGGGTGAGAAACTATTGAAGTGTCCCGGCGTATGACTCGAGCATAATATGGAAGCCCCTCTGTGGTGTTGGGAGAGATGATGTTACCATACTTCCAGGGCGCGTACATAAACAGGACGGGGCCAAGGCACCACCGGGATGAGTTTCCGGCCAAGAATTCTAGAACATGTCGTATTTGATTGTTCAGAGTAGAGCCGGCAAAGTCGTAAAATGACAAGCCATATGTGAGATTATAATACTGACGAAGTTGGGATAGTCTCCTGCTGAATATGCAATTTGACCATATGAAATCATTTGCCGTAATCATTTTGTCTTGGTGTAATTATCATCGAGAATGACTGGACCAATTCATCCCCTTGAGACTTCCAGACGTCATAATCACGCGCAACGGTCACCTCTGTTCTGTTTCTGACGGGCTGATACAATGACGGCGCCGCCACCGACATGAAATTCTTCGGACTTTGGACGTCCCCTTCTCCCAAATGCCGGACGCGACATCTGTGCCCTTACAGAGTATACTATGTCGTCGTTGCTGTTTTGCCGTCCCCATAGCCTGTTCAAGCCGCCACATGGGGTAAAGTATAGTACTGCATAATGAACACGTTCATCGTCTTTTTGTACTCCGTACTAGACGCCAAATTTGATTATGTGGCGTTTTTGTATGGCGTCATTAAACATCGATGACAGCTGTCAAAATGTTGGGAAAGACGACGTCCCCTGCGGTGGCTGAGGATGCTGAATCTGACCCATGATCCTATTATTGGCCCCGGCTTGAGCATGGCCAATAGCTATCATTATCCTTTCGTGCGGGCTGTGGTTGACGGGCGACATTGATGACAGGAACCTTGGCGTGAGCCGGAGCTTATCTTGTTGAAGGGGGCCCCTTACATCGAAACAGCTGGCGGTTACAGAAAACGTGGAAGAGCCGAAATTTATGTTTGAGACAACAAGAAAAGGAACTGCTTGACACCTGCCTTTGAGACAATCATGTTCTCTTCCCTTCCTGTGATACATGGTCTGCTGCGGACTATGTACATCGAGATAGGTATTCTCTGGACTTGCTAAGAAATCAAGGGCGAGCTTCGTTAGTGCCTTCTTCATTACAGCTGATAACCACGCCTTGGAGGCTTGACGACGCGCAACGTCTGATATCAAGGCTTCCGGATTGTGCACATACCGACTGGAGACCACTGTAGACCTGGCATGATTGTGGCAAGGGAGTATGGAGAAGTTGTCGACTGACCTTGGGTTCAAAATAATGCACGTTCCTTAGAAAGAGCAATATACGGAGTAATAACTGCCTCAATTGCCAGAAGTTAGAATGCCACAGTAGGCGAGCATTCACATGGAGATAAGCGACAAAAGGTTGTGACCATGTTAAGGACTTACCGGAGAACCGTACTTCAATCCAGATTCAAACTCAAAAGTCTGGTTTGTTTCGTCTCCCATCACCCAGTCCAATTCTTGTGATACATTAATCAGTTCTACGGAAAACGCTGTGACAGTGTCCATTATGTGGATGAACGAGCTGACGCAAGTGCTCAATTGCAAGCGAGTTAAGCACAAGTCACGAGAGCATCGGTGAAAATGTCCCTCATAAAGACGAGAACCTGCTAACCTCGATAACGTTGTGGCACATCTTGATACTTATGCTGTGTTATGTTGGGAGATGGCCTCTTGTGCGAGCCTATATGTTGTTTAGCCCCAAGTGCGCTCCTCTGTTACATGCCAAATAGTTCTTCTATGAAGAATAATAGTTAGGAAGTGTACGGGGCGGTGGCACTCAGGTTTGACTAAATGATTGCTTCGACACATGGAAGCCACCTAGCTATGGTTTGTCCTACCCCGTGCATGCTATCCACGACATCCCCTCGGCCGCTGCTGCTCCCTGTTGTTGAAGATCCAGACCAGGTTCGTAATATATCCTAGGCAGACTGGTCTTTTAGAAAGGCCCGACAAATTTGTTCCCGAGTTTGCGTGGGAGAGCCCAGGTGAACAGTCTAGTGCCGGACCGCAGTAGCTGTGTCTTATATTTCTTTATTTTTAGGTGGCTCTTGTTCTGTCTAGCCAAGCCACTTTTAGGGGCTCTACCCTGTCGAATACTGAAT